AACTGATGGGAACCGTGCCGAATATACATTAAAAGCATAGGACAGTGGATATAAATTATATATTTAAACTAAAATAATTATTAGTTTCCAATAATGGCAGGTGAGGCTCTGCCTCCCCTGCCTCCCCTGACTGCACGTCCCTGGTTTCACCACAGATAAGAGTCGAGGCATTAATTTGCGATACAACTCCCGCGACTGTACACTACGGAGAGAGCCGCTGAATTGGAACAAGTTACTTGCTATTAATGTAATCAGGGTCTTTTTTATCTTAATGTTGCTGAAGTATACTATATGCACATTGAGTTGAGTTGTTTTAAGATAAGATAAGAATTCCTTTATTCGTCCCACAGTGGGGAAATGTATTTTTGAATGAAGAAAAGGCGATTTGCATAATTTCTTCAAAAACAGGAAATTAAAACAAATGTGACTGAAGCCCTTTGTTCCTACTTGAACAAACTCCCTCTTTAAAGGAATAGTTCACCGTTTTTACATACTGACATATGTTCTTACCTTACCTTAGACTAGTTAATACGTATCTGTCTGGTCTTAGTCCGTGCGCTCTGTCATGCAAACGGAGCAAAAACGGGAGCACAAATGCAGCCTCCTCTGTATATTTTGTAGCACCAAAAGGTAGCTCCCGCTAGAAGCTACCAAACTCTTCCAAGTGTTCCCTATTAAATGTATATAGTTACGTGACGTGTTACACTGCAAAGTATAGTAACACAGAAATGTAACTGTCGATTTTCTCAGCGGATAAAACGGGTACTATATTGTGAGGCGTAGTAATCTGAGGAGCGCTACGTCCGCGCACTAACTTCTCTCCGGAGACTTCTCTCTCGCTCACTTCCGTCAATAGAAGCAGCGTGACTTGTAGTACGGAGAGAAGTTAGTGCGCGGACGTAGCGCTCCTCAGATTACTACGCCTCACAATATAGTACCCGTTTTATCCGCTGAGAAAATCGACTGTTACATTTCTGTGTTACTATACTTTGCAGTGTAACACGTCACGTAACTATATACATTTAATAGGGAACACTTGGAAGAGTTTGGTAGCTTCTAGCGGGAGCTACCTTTTGGTGCTACAAAATATACAGAGGAGGCTGCATTTGTGCTCCCGTTTTTGCTCCGTTTGCATGACAGAGCACACGGACTAAGACCAGACAGGTATGTATTAACTAGTCTAAGGTAAGGTAAGAACATATGTCAGTATGTAAAAACGGTGAACTATTCCTTTAAGGTTCAATAAAAAAGAAAATACTTTGGAAATTGCCCTGTTTTTATTTGCAGTAGTTTTTGGAATGTCATTTATCCTTTAAAATGATTGATACATATTTTATCGAGATATGGAGAAAAAAATATATCGAGATTTTTTTTCTTTATATTGCTCAGCCCTAGGTCATAGCGGTCGAGAAGTCATGACCTGAGTGTTGAAGTGGTCAGCTTCAAACAAGCTTTGTAGCGATTTAAAGCAAACATGTTCTTAGCTAGCACTTATGACCATGCTTTTTATATCTCATTGTCTTTGTAATTCAGATTTGTCATCAAACCCACACGCAAAATAATCATATTTTTTATGATTGAAATCCTTAATGTAAAGTACTCGTTACAAATGTTTTATACCACAGATCGTTAATGAGAAAATATTCTAGCATCAATTGTGTCACTATCACAGAAAACTTTTAAGTCCTTTTTAGAAACGTTTGTTGGCTGGGTTTCTAACATCATACAGCTGTTATCATCTGATGCCGGGTGCAATTAGCCTCTATAATGGCTACACTTCAAGATTCAGAAGCTTAGAATATTACTCAACATAAAGCACTTTTGTTGACTCTGTTTTAACATGCTCTACTACTAAAGTTGGATTTGATCTTTAGTGTTTGCCCATCTCTGCTTCTGCCGGTTCCCCGCTCATTCTGAATGATCCTCAGACAGTTGCAGAAGGTCACTGGTGTTGGGCTGTGTGGTCTGTTAAAGGTCGACTTGTTTGGACATTTGCCAGATTTGCTGTACCTCTGGAGTTCAAATGTAGGACAAAGAGTCACAGGAGGGAGAGCATTATGTCTCTGGATATGTATTTATCCATCCTCCCTCCCACGGTTTACCGCTTCATGGATTGTTGAAGATTTGTAAAGGGCGTGTAGTGGTGGCGGTGGTTTGAGTAGAAGAGCAATGTTACTCCCCAGTCCACCTCCCACAGTCGGAAGAGCATTAATGTCTACATGGTGTATTTCATGGTGTATTGCAGTGTTTTTCAACCACTGTGCCGCGGCACACTAGTGTGCCGTATGATATTGTCTGGTGTGCCGTGAGAAATTCGTCTACTTTGTCTAAAAATAGCTGCATTCGCTGTTGACGAGCGGTGACTTGTTTTGAACTGTGAGTAACCATGTAATACTTTTTCAAATCAGTAGATGGCAGCAGATAGCTAAGTACTTTGAAACTGAAAAATTGGATGCGACCACTGGCTACAGGTCAGCATTGTGGCGAGAAAGGTAAAATTGGATGCGACCAACAAATGTGTGAGGGAGCGAGACAAAAGCTTTGTGGCGAGTGAGAAGTGAAAGTGATAGAGACGTTTTTGAAAATGAATTATGCCGTTTCTGAACAGGATTAACATCCTCCGCTCTGCCCCGGGGCAGCTGTGGCCGCGTTGTAGTGGTTTAACTATGAAATGTACGATTTTTGTACAACAGCTCTCGCGAACGCACTTCTGAACTGGGTACCGAGCGCAGACCGTAGTCGAGTGGACAGAACCACAGACATGCGGACCGGACAGAACCATGGACTTGCGTTCAGGACCTCCCGTGTCCCTCATCCAAAACTCCTGAATTTAAAGCTCGGATACCAAAATGTTACCCATGCACTAACAATGCATGTTCTTTGTGTGAGTTATTATTTGACTATTTGGGCAGAGAGTGGATTTTCTTAGTTTTTTTCCACACAGTTAGTGCCACTTTATTCCCAAACTCTTGTTAATTGTATCGAGAAATATTAAATAAAGCTTAATTTCAAGGCCTGGACTTAAGCATTTTGATGAGAATAACTGTATATTGTGAATATAGGCTACAGAGTATACTGTATACGTTATAAGATAAGATATACTTTATATATCACACAGAGTATGTACAGTATATATTTTTTTACATTAGTACTGTATACATTTTTACATTTTCTCCTGGAGGTGTGCCGCAAGATTTTTTCAGTGAAAAAAGTGTGCCTTGGCTCAAAAAAGGTTGAAAAACACTGGTGTATTGAAATACACCATAAATAAAAAAATATAAAAAGTTGAAATAAACTTAACAATAACTGCTTTCCACAAGAAAGTGCTATTCATTTGGGCTGTTTTGTTTCTTAACTTTCTTCCCCCTTGAGTTTTCAAATTCAGAAAACTTTATTGATCCCAAAGGGCAATTTATTTTTATGATGGAGTTGTTTTTTCAAAAGTGTATTTGTTGCAAAGGTTGCAGTTGCATTGGAAACTGAGCAGTGGCATTACATTTCAAGTGTTAAAGTAGTTTTACCGTTTTGGCCCTGATTTTGTTAGACGCTAACACAGGCTCAATGTATTCAGAACAGCCCTCTTTACTTTCATGGCCAGACTTTAGCTGTCTGTGTTCCAATGAAGTTGGAAAGAACTCTGCGCTAAAACACAACATCACTTTTCAGCTTTAGCACTTTATAACGAGTGTCTGTAGGTGTGGAAAGACTTTTTGTTTTATTCAGAATCTCACATATGCATACTAAATGGTGAAAAACATGTTTTTTCACAGCTGTAGAATTCTGATCTGATATGGATGGTTTTAGTCTCTAATTGATTAAGGTAGTTTGATTGTGCTTCTATTTTTAAAGATGAAAATGGGAAAGTAAACAAATGGTTGTGTGGTAGATACTGCATGTCAGTGATGGCTACTAATTAGTGTTAATTATTCAATACCCAACATGAGGTGTAATGAGGAATCGAATAATGCCTCATTAAATCTCTCAATGGCGGAAACTAATTGTAATTTCAGCAGTAGATTGATGGTTCTAGATTCATTTATTTTCAATTGTTTAGTTTGAAACACAGGGTTTTTGCTGAATTTGACTGTGGTGCACCTTGACGTCATCCTTATTATCCTCATTATAGCTTTGTTTCTTCTGTTCACACATAGATTTGTCTCTGGTTTAGTTTATAATTATCTTTGCTGTAATTCATTGATGAATTGTTGTGGCCTGATCTAACTATGCCTTTTGATCAGCAACAATCTGCACACAGTCAAAGGAAAAAGACTTGAAGCGATCCCTCTCCTCCACCTCTTTAGAGGAAACCGAGACATATGCTGAGGATCCTAATCATAGCTGTGCTTGTTTCTATGAGGGGCCACCAGTGTGAAGAAATACACAGAAGACAAGACTAACTGATTTGAAAGAGCACACCTTGCTTGTACAATAGCCGCTGTATATTTGCTGCTCCCTCTCTTTATAAAAAAAACTAGGCAGGTATAAAAAACTTGAGGACTTTGAGATGAAGGTGAAGGGAGAGAATAGAGGTTTGTTTCTCCCGTGGGTTGGTTGAATGCTCCAATCTTCCAGTAGGACAGAATAGCTGGCTGTGTGATGTTACCTGCCCGTGGGGTTTGGAGATGCTTGTGCTATTACTATCTGTCAATATTGATGCAGCTGGAGTTGTCACCCGCGTCACAAAGCAACATTTTCTCTTTGGGGTGAATAGAAAGAAGAGTGGCAATAATGTGATTTTTGTTTCAGGCATGTTTTATCTTGCTATGAATTGACTTGCTATGTTGAATATGGTTCAGAGAGTATAAACAATCATTTATTTTGATTGGAAAACATGATTAGCTTTATTACTTTAGCTTGATGTTTGTTCTTTGTGAATTTATAGAAATGTCTGACCTTTTTTAAGATCTATTCCCAGCTCTAAATTTCGCAAATTCTTGTCAACACAACATTATGAATGCAATTTGACAGAATTCTTTAAAACCGTCTTGTTTTTGTTTTAGGTTCAACTACAGATCGACTCACCACCTCACCACTAATGGGTTCTACGAGTTCCTGAACTGGTTTGATGAGAGAGCGTGGTATCCTCTGGGCAGGATTGTTGGAGGCACAGTAAGTCTTTCAATCTATACCATCATAATTAGATCTATTAACACAATATGAGATTATAAAACGTATGCCTGGACTCCCGAACATAAACTGTATATCCATTCTACAGTGTATGCTTAGGTGCCATATGACATGTTTCGTACAAATATTTTTGGGACACAAATGTATAATAGTTCTGTAATTCCCATACATGACTGTAATTTACAAACTCTGACTGAGGTAAATAAAGAATAAAAAGTCTAGCTTAACCAAAACCAGGCAAATTTATTTGTATAGCGCAGTTCATGCAAAAGGAAACTAATTAAATTACTTATGTTTCCTTTTATTTTGACTGTTTCTGCTGCAGGACAGTGCCATTAATCTGACACTTGTGTTTTCAACTATTATTCAAACCTCCACTGTACGCACATTACAGAATCACTTATTCCAAAAACTCATACAGTTGCATTTTAAATTTTTTAATGCAGCGTAAAAAGCCCAGCATCAACAGCACAAGGACAAAGACGTGAGAATCAAACACAGAAACATGGCAAAAGCAGCTCTCATCCTAATTTACTCATCCTCCGGAGAATTATGTTTATCTTATGGCCAACCACATTTATAATCCTGAGCATCTGATTCAAATTATTGCCTTCAGTCCCACGTTAAATTTTTGAATCAATGAGGCCTTAACAAATGAGGCCTTGTCTGTTATGGGCGACAGTAGGTCGTGGGTTCGAGCCCACCACAAGACTTTCTCCACCAACTCTCACTGATGTCTGCTGTTGTCGTGTCCTTTGGCAAGACACTTCACCCCCATTGCCTAGAATGAGTGGTGTGTTTGTGAATGGTTGGTGGTGGTCAGAGGGTCTGATGGCACATACTGGTTGCCTCGCTTCTGTCAGTGTGCCCCAGGGCAGCTGTGGCTACAATAGTAGTTTATCACCACCGTGTATGGAATGAATGATTAATGACATGTAAAGCGTCTTTGAGTGTCCAAAAAAGTGCATAATAAAACTGTTTTAATTTAGTGTTGAGAATAGTTCAATTCGTCCAATTATATTTTTTCAGTGCTGTTTCAAAAGTATATAAAATGTTGGCATATATGAAAAGTACAATATCAAAGACTATTGTACTTTCACAACATTGTAATTTATTTTCTGCTGCCCATCTTTGTACCATGTTCGTAAATTGACCATTCAGTGCAATAATAATTACTATATTTGGCTCCCACGGCTGAGAAAGCTGCAGACCACAGCATTTTCATTTGTTCACTCTCGTCTGTACAAGTTCTCACTTTCCCTGTCATTTCTACATGTAAGTAAGGACTGAACAATTTATCATTTGCAGGTTAAGTCTGCAGATTTTTAAGTCTCATGAGACATTGGTAATTAACAGATTTCACTGCTGCAAAGCGGAATCCCCCAAAAATCTGCTTCAGAAAGGCTTCCAAATTTCCCAAATCTGTGGCTTCCTAATTATAACTAAGATGAATTATGTGAGACTTTAGTTTTTTCAAGTTCCTCAATAGATGTTCAAAAGCATGTCAATATTGTTATAGAATTTGCACTTACTCTCTTAATTAAAATGTTTTTTTTTCCCCCTTTTCTCCAGGTTTACCCAGGGTTGATGGTGACAGCGGGACTCATACACTATGTCCTAAATCTCCTTCATATTACAGTCCATATACGGGACGTTTGTGTATTTTTGGCCCCAGTTTTCAGTGGGCTTACGTCCATCTCCACCTTCCTGCTGACCCGGGAGCTGTGGAATCAGGGGGCGGGGCTCCTGGCAGCCTGCTTCATTGCCATCGTCCCAGGGTACATCTCCAGATCCGTCGCTGGGTCTTTTGATAATGAAGGAATTGCCATCTTTGCACTGCAATTCACCTACTATCTGTGGGTAAGTTGTGTCAACAATCCAGTCACACACCATCGCCACGTTCTATAAGATAAGGCTGCAGTGTGTGTCCTCGCCTTGAATTATGTTTAGTTTTAATATGCACAATGATTCTAGCTTGGTTTTAGCTTGTTTTTTACTTGTTTACTTGATGTGCGGTAATATATTGTATTCAAACGTTGAGTTTATGCCACAAACACTGCAGTTATTGATTTAATAATATATATATATATTTTGCATAGGCTTCTCTTTTATCAAAATTTTAATAATAAATGTATATAATTGATTTTACTTTTACCGAGACAAAATGATCCAGGTAAAAGTACAAACAATGTAATTTGTCCCTATTTGTAATTTGAATAATTACAGTCTGTAAATCAGTGGACAGTACTGCCATCTTTACTTTATTGGTCCAGTTCTGTTTCAATCCAACCATAATTGGAGTCCTTTTGTTCAGAGAATAAAAATCATATTTTGTTCAGAAAAATTATCACAAATGCAAAAGATGAGCTGTGGAAAAAAAACTTCCATAAATAAAATACTGAATTCATTTCCCTTTTAAAATAAACTTGTTTTGTTTTAAAGTAATTTTATAATTATTTATTTCCAGCAGTCCCTAAGAGCATGGAGAACGGTTACTGTCCATTAGGCGTTAATCACATTGAGTTACAAACCAAAGCGACTTTGTGCAACCTTTTATAAGGACTCCATTCAAGACTAATGTAACATGCAACAATACCACCCCTCTCCAGTGATTTTCCAGTGACCTGGAATACTTCAGCGCTAATTTATAGGATACTGTACGTGGGCTGGCAACAGGCGACTAATGTGTTTGACCTCTCTTTAACTTCCATGTCCACAGGTGAATTAAACATGGTGTTAAATACTATTAAAGGACTGTAGAAAGTGAGAAACGATTGATACTTCATTCTGCGCTTTTTATAGCTTGTATAGATATTTTTCAGCACATTTTAATGCTTTGTGTTTTTGCATGTGTAGGAAATAGGTTAATGTTATTCACAGATAGTTCATGTTTCTAGTATACGGCAGAGATTTAAGTACAAACAATTCCAATGATAAAGCTCTTGAATCCCAGGATATAAAAACATAACCTTTTTTTCTTGATAAAACCAAAAAGCAATATTCAGGAAGGAATTTGTAACTTTGTAACTAAGGAATTTGTAACCTCGCCCTTTATCTAAACTTCTTTCCCTCTGTTTAGGTAAAATCAGTGAAGACCGGCTCCATTTTCTGGGCCATTGGATGCTGCCTCTCCTATTTTTACATGGTATGTTTTTGATTTCAGTTTCCCTAAAACTGACACACTGCCCAACCAATCACAGCAAAAACACAATGGTCACATCAACTCCGCCAACAATCTACCACAAAAGTACAAGAGATCTATTGTACAAAGAGCCTATTGTCTTATTTCTAAAAAGTGAATGTATAATAGAAAAGATACTTTCTTTTTTTATTATGATGTTCTCCCCATGGCACATGAGAAAGTTCTTCATTTCTGACTGATTAGCAATACTAATAATTTAAGGTGGATGTTTTATGATACAAACCTAATAATTTGGACCTATTTTTACCCCCTTCACCTACTTACTGCTCCAGGATGAATCATTGTAAGCTGTGACGCCTCTTACTTGGCAGCTCCAACACTTGCAGACAATAGGCACAAAGCTTGCATCCTGAGAATAGTCTGTGAGGACGTCTTTGTGAGGCGTTTGGTTGGCCTTGTTATGACGCAATGTCCCGCAGTGCCTCTTAAATTGATGCACAACACATCACACAAGATTAGAGTGAGTTTAGATTGAGTGGGTTCAAGCAATTTATTGGATCCTGTAACTATAATGTACTGTACTAATGCAAGTCATATCTACATACAATCACACTTTGATTAACAAACAACTGCTAGATCTTCAAGAGCATCCATGATTTTCCTCCTTGTGCTTAGTGGGGAGCAAAGTGATAAGATTCCAAATTGTAAAGTGGTTTGTGCCCCTGGTCTGTGAAATGGATCAAAATATCTCTGTGCAATGTAAGTAAAACACTGAGATACACTTATTAAGATGATCAAAAGACCATAGCCTCATTGCCCCAAAATCTTGTGAAGTAGAAATACAAGGAGGAACCTTTCCCCAAGTTGTCTTTGTGCGGCTATATCTTGGCCAAAACACAACATTTCTGATTGAAAAAAGATTAAATTACGTAACATTAAAACTGTGGCAAAGACACACTTCACTGTCTAATTTCTAAACTTGCCGCCCACCTCCAATATTTTCAATTGAACATGCAAGATGGTCCTAAAGCCTGAGGTTTAAGTTCAAAGAAAATCGTGATCCATGAAGTTCTCTTCATAGAAAAATATTATACCATGCTCAGAAAATGTTATGACTCCCCTCTAGAATATGAATTGTTGAAAAGGTAGGTAAAAACCCAGAATGAGACAAAACTTCCTCTAAATCAGGGCAGAGAGGGAACAACATCAACATAAATCTTTGTGTTCTCCCCCAGCACCAAACTTAATAGCTGTTTGAATATTGCATCTCATAATAATTGTATGGCTCTCAGGTGGGCTTTGTGCTCCTGCCTACTGCCTCATTATGGAGCTTTGTGTGTTGAGAATAAGTGACAAAACGCAGGCTGCATCCAGCTCCGGCCCACAGGGACCAGCGGGAATTTTACAACGCTGATTATCTCCTCCACCGCGTAGACAGTTTTTTTTTTTTTTTAAATGGTTTTAGCCAGGATCAAAATCTCATGATGAGCCCACATAAAAATATGAAGCTACTGTTTGCTTAGATACACCTGGCTATTCCTTACAGTTATGGTAATTCATTAATACAGTAATACAGTGAGATGCAATGCTGATACTGTATGAAACCGATAAGTCATGTGTCTAACCATTTAGCATGAATCATTTTTGAGTACTGTACTTGCTAATATACTTATAAGTACAAAGGTTAAATTAAATTCCACATAATATTTATCTTCCCAATGCTTTCTGCGAATATAAATAATATTCTTATCCGAGATGTGCCTGCAATAATTTGGGATGCAATTTGTCCACACCTTAGCAAGAACGTACTTTTCATTTAATAGGGTTTTCCCTTTTGTTCGTTTGATGGTCACTTGACCACCAGTCTAAGCTGAGACGCCTTGACTTCCTTATTCACACCTGGCCAGCTTAAGGACAGCCCCTCCAGTGTGGCTTGGGTCTTCCATAGGGTACATTTGTACACTATGGTAAAGGTTCTCGCTTACCTTTGCTGGCTGATGTAGTGTATCTTTGTTTCCACAAACTTCCCTCATTAACAGCTTGTGTCATGTTTTTCCAGGTTTCTGCTTGGGGCGGCTATGTTTTCATCATCAACCTGATCCCGCTGCATGTGTTCGTGCTGTTGCTGATGCAGAGGTTCAGCCGCAGAGTGTATATAGGTGAGACACTAACTCTCCCACGCTCCGATGTACAAACATGAATATTTTATGTCCACATTAATTCTCAGGTATAAAAGGATGACTTTGGAGGTTTACAATGATGCACATTTCACATTCAAATGTAGTTCCACAGAAGAAGGGCCAGCTCATAGAGCAGAACAACTGTATAGTCAGCAGTCGTAATTTTTTTATTTTTATTTTAGCATTAACAGCAGGAAATCAAACAATGATATTATAAAAGTGTAGGTAACCTCTGGGAATAGCTATGTTTTGGTTTAATGATACAAAATACAATAGTAAAGTATACCTTTCCTGAACATGGTTTTGTTTCTGAGCTGCATAATCAAGACCTCATTCGATGTTTCATCATTACTAAGTTCTGACGCATGAAGATGATCACTTGCCTTTTTTAAGACTGACCATAATGGACATGCTTTAGTTTTCAGACACTGGGATTAGTTTATTTTCTTGAAATTTGTTTTGCTATCCCAAAGGTCGCAAGGTGGGCACTGGCTTTTGGAACACCAGCACTGCACTTGTATTTGAACAATGTGCACATAACGTACCTCCACATCACAGTAAACTGTTTTATTATATGACTTGGACCAGACGCGCGCTCTGATTGGCTGATTACCAGTCTGATATTTTCCCATCTCGGACCGTTACCATGACAATTGGTCCGAACAGCGCGTATCACATTTGATATCTTTCCTCAGGCCGTTACCATGACAATCTGTCCGCAGCGCGTATCACACACAACCAAGTCAGACATGAACATACTTCACAAATATCTCAAAAGCATTGGTAAAGACACAGGCGAGAGTCATATAATAAAACATGTATTAACCTCGCTTGCTCGGTCTGTAAAGAGAAATATCAGACCTTGGCCTTTTTGCACAGACCTCGCCACGGCTCGGTCTGTACATTAAGGCCGCGGTCTGATATTTCTCCATACAGATCTCGCGCTCGGTTAATAAACCGTTAATCTGTACAGATACCAGAGATACCAACTCTGGTATCTGCATCAATGCATCCCTAGTCAAGACCCATTAATATGTGACAATGTTGCGGCAGCGAGCAGACCTTTTCCCTGTGGTAATGACAGGATATTTTCTACAGGACTTTACTGTTCTACTTACTTGTCTTGTCGGACAAATAACTTATCTTACTTAATGCTGGCTGGTCCAATAGAACTACATTTTCCAAATCCAAATGAGAATTTCTTTTCCAGACAGTGAATGCCTTCAGTGAAATCTTCACCTAGATACCTAGAAACTCTTGCAATCGATTGCATTGACATTTTAGCGAGGGGTTTTTGTTGTTTTAAACTTTTGATTAGATACTTGACTATTTCAGAAACATTTTCAAGATCAAACAATTCCCCGTCTTGTCCATAGTGTGTTAAATTTGATGTCTAGCCTATAACTTGACCACAGACAGAACTATTGAACTACACAATACAATCTTAGCAAAAGTCAGGTAAAGCAGTAGAAGAAGCTAGAAGCAGAAAAGATTAAAGCAGCCGTACTTCAAAGAGCTTGGCTGTTTTTTCTGTCTAACTCATGAATGAAGTCTGGACCCAGAGTTTGTGCTGCAATGCCCTATGTTTTATACAAACCAGAAAGCGATTTGGAAAATATTGTTTTGGCAATATATTGAGATAAACAATCCTAAAATAGTTTTTCTTTTGCTAGTTATGTTTATGATCAATATAGAGTCATTAGAGAAATTTTAGCATCTTGCAAAAAAAAAATATATATATTTTTTTTTATATATATATTTAAGCTGAAAGATAACTCCGCCCGGACCCTTGATTACAAATGCAAGCCCATGTGTTTTAAATTATTGTGTTTCCAAACTTGACTATTGTAGTACAAAGGTGAAGGAAACTAACACAATGAATCTTAATTGTGATTCATTATACAACATCATTGCATTTCTGTCCATACAACCAGGGTGGAAACCTGTGACACAGCTAGGTCTTGGAGTAAAGCCAAAGAAAGGGATCGCACATATTGTCAAAAAAATATATATAAATATATATATATATATTTTTTTTTCTATCAATTATAGTTGATATCTGGACTTTAAAAGGTAAAGGTATAACTCAAAAACTAAATTTACTATCATAGATTGGATAAAAAGATTTCAAACAGACATATCAAATAGATAGTGTGGATAAAATCAAAAGGAAAGATTGTCAAATACGTTTTTGGAGAAATTTGAGAAGACCAGATCAGATTTGATAGTGTGACACCAGTTATATAGAAAATAAAAAGTCATCAGTGACAACGCGACAGATGAACTCCCACAAGTAAATAACTTGATTTTAAAAAGGAATCATTAAAAAATAAAAAATAAACACTAATTTATTGTAATTTATTGAAGTATTTTTTATATATTTATATTTCTGCACTTTTTCCACATTTTCAGAGTTAAATTCATTTACCTTATATTTCATTACCTTTTTGAAAATACCCGTTGGAATGAAAATGCATGAACAACTTTAATATAGCGCTCAAGGTGTTTTTTTTTTCTGCTTTTAGTGTTTCATATGTTAGTTACAAATAATGCAGAAGTGCTCTCAGGCTTAAATGAACTACTACTTCAGTACCAACAGCTCAAAACAATTCCACCATGCCTTTGCGATGTGGGTGGCAGCTTCCCCAAAATGTCCTCGATTGTTCTGGCTGTAAGGCTGCGGTCAGAAGCACAACCTAAGGCCACAGTTTTGACTGGGTCTAGGGTCAGAGGGGCCTGCTTCAGCGACTACCTCGAGGACAGTGTTAAGTTTCCGTTTCTCTTCCTACTCGGCTACTGTGCGCCAACCAGCTCGAGCATGGGTCTCGTTATTTGCAATCAATTCAGAGTCTTATGAGATGTGTCTTTCTCCAATGTGCAGCAGCTTAGTGTGTGTGTGTGTGTGTGTGTGTGTGTGTTTCTTTACTTGGAGGCATATTTGAATAATCTGAATTTGGAATCGGAAATTTCCCGTACCTGTAATATCTGCTGTAGAGATGAATTGGCGTCTTGTCTCAATGCAAAGACAAACATTGAAGATTAGTCCACAGTCTACCTTTTTTTTCCTATGTAGTATTATTGCCCTGCTGTTGATAAATGACATAAAAATGTGTAGATCGCTCTTTCAGCTTTCTCTGCTTGACTGAAGTTATAATGAACAACATCATTGCATTTCTGTCCATACAACCAGGGTGGAAACCTGTGACACAGCTAGGTCTTGGAGTAAAGCCAAAGAAAGGGATTGCACATATTGTCTTGTACTACTCTGGTCCACTCTTTCCCTTTTTTCTGTTTGAACATAAGATTAAGATTCATTGTGTTAGTTTCCTTCACCTTTGTACTACAATAGTCAAGTTTGGAAACACAATAATTTAAAACACATGGGCTTGCATTTGTAATCAAGGGTCCGGGCGGAGTTATCGATTACCCGTAGATTACTTTTGACCATGTTGGAAAAAGGTTTGTAATAGTTTCATTAAAGACCTATGTGAGGTGCATACATTGATACAGAATGTATCAAAAGCTGCTCAAACTCTCATCTAAAGCAACAGAAAAAGAGTCCTGAACAACACCATCGGCTGCATGAATAATTTAGCACGCGCTGCTCTTCCGCTTTGCTCTCTCATTCACCTTGGTCTCCCCTGAACACCTGGGCAGACATACTGACTCCATATACTGTTACCGGAATACTGTGAATTTGCATTTATGATTAAATTACTGTAGGGAAGCGATCTACACCTTGACTGATTTGCAAAGCTATGTTTTAATTGGAGGTTCTTGCATGGTTTTGATCTGGCTGTCGTCTGGTTGCCTTCTCTAGTGTGTGTTAAATCCTGAGTGATTTCTTTTTACTTCTATTGGACATGTCGGCCTTTACTTTCCTGACTTGTGCTCAGACCACTCAATTCATTGTGGCTGTATAAAGCAGGTGTGTTAATGTGACTCCTGCCGGGAACCATTTTCTCTGGGATGCTGCTTATGTTCCGGGATGGTTCTGCCAGCTCCAAACTCATTACACTTGACATCAGAGGGCTTCACAAAGACGCCAGGATAAGAGATTGACTTTGAGAGAGAAACACACATCTGTTTGGCAATCCCTATAGAGACTGGGACCTATAATGCCCTTCTAGTAAATATCTCTGCAAAATACCATGGTAAAACATTATATTTTAATGTGGCTTAGTATAGTCTTAATTTTTACTATGGTGATCGAAGTTCATTTTAGAATACATCCAGGTGGCTGACCATAAATGGTACATAATAAGTAGTTTAAAAAAAAAAAAGATGAGTTTTACTATTTTCAAAATGTAATGCCATGTATGTTGCAACACATGCTCTGGTCAAACTAACATTTGGGTTAGTGCAGTTGTTTGGAGGGGAGGCACAAACCTGACTGAAGGGGAATAATCCACAATTATTATGGTTTTCTTTTACTTTTAAGAGATTCTTGTGTAATATATGCACAATTGAATAAGCACCTGTGTAGCTCCTTCTGTTCACAGCACCCCTCTGCTTCTCACTGCTGACACAGCTTCACCTGCTCCTGTTCGCTTCTCTCTTCTGATCGTTATAACGTTCAGTATGCTTGAGTTGGGAACGCCCGCATGTAAAAAGTCTTCATTATTGAACAAACATGATATTGACTATTGAGGATTACTCTGGGCTTGGAAGTCCAATCAATGTGAAATGAAATGTCCCGCCCTGTGCACCTGACCATAGATTTTACTGAGACTTTTATTTTTTTGGTGACAATTTAAATTACTTTATTATATTATGCCATTAATCTTAGGGCTTGAAAGAAAATCAAAGTGTTAGTGAGTTAATTAACTAGAATTGTGATTGCATCTGAGCCGGGTTTCCAGAGTTTTCCCTCATAAACTTTTATAAGTACAAGTTTTTTTTTTTTTGTTGATGAGGAGAAAGATGCAAAGTCCTTTAACGCAGACGCTGAGGTACTTGAGTGAATTAGATCAGGCTCAGAGTTAGTCCTAAACAAAGTGAGAGCTGTGTTCATGATAGGTAGGAAAGAAAGCAGAGGGATTTACAAATACGGTATACAAATAAAAACACCAGGATCGTGATTGAGTGTTAAACCGCAGAGGAGTTACTTTACAATGAATGTGAATGGGAGCGAGTAGGAGCAAAACTTCCCCCACAAACACAGTCTGATTGGGCTTAGCCAGTTAGCGTTGTTGCAGTCTGTGTACAAGAGCTGGAACTAAAAATATGAGCATGAAACCTTTCTGTTTTAGCCCAAATGATAACTATCTCCATGGAGACAATTATCTTGGAAAACAAAAGGCAACAATAACAGTATGTGGAGAGAGAAAAACACAGCAACAAATTCCCTTCGGCCTGTGCTTTTTTTTATATTATCTGATGTTGAAATACATTTGAGACGATGGGTATGCTGGTCCAACAAGTTCAGGTTATTTATATTGTGCCGATTTTGCTGATACGATTACTAAATATTATAACAAATTGTCTGTATTTTATGCAGAACTTATAACAAATTATCAGGTTATCATTGTACATTTTACCTCTTATATCAATGTAACATTTTACTTGAAATAAAGTATTTTCAAAATGTTCACTTGGTTTGGTAGAACATACAAATACAAAGGCCAATTATCGAAGAAGATCACACACAAATGCATCCCTACATCCAATTCCAACTAATGGCAGGCTGGCTTCTCATTAGTTTGAACTAGTTTTACAGACGTCACTGGCTGGATATGTGTTCGTATTGGTCACCATGGGGATGTTCTTTCTAGTCACCTATAGACCAGCTCTTTCACACTGGGGGGTCCGGTGGTGCCAGGGTGGACTACAGTAGCAGCTTACTAATTAAGAGTTTTGAATTTTTTATATATTCACTGAGTTTTTGTGGCTCTTACCGTGGAAATCACTATATTAACAGATCTTGTACGTACAAGTAGCTGTTGGCCATATTGACTGTTGCGATGCCATCTGCAAATCAACGTGTCAAAACCACAGCCACCAGCTTTACCCTTGTCTTGCGTGCTGCTCATTAACCAGACTGGCGACACCTCTATAGTCATGAATCCTGCAGAGAGCGCCGGAGAAGAAATGTGCATGCTCCTTTGTGGTGCCAACTCATCAAACCAATGAAGTGAAAATGTAGCTTGCGGTGCAAGTTTTTGTACGTCTTTATTTCCCAGGCTTATCTCTGTGCTTTCTAATGAAGCTGCTGCTTTAGTTATTGGCTCCTCTGCTACCACCATTGAAAGCCTTATTTATCAACCCTTTTGTGTTCTGGCTTTTTATTCAAGATAACCCTCGTGGACTTGTTCGAAACGGTTGTCAAATCTTTTAGGCGGTTTTTTTCTTTTGGTGAGTTTTTCTTTTGGACCCGAGCGTGGAAATCATTTGATAGAAGTTACGACTGTCAACCTTGATTTCAGTACGGTAAAATTGGCATTGTGAGGGTGTTTTGTTGACTTGTCCTCTTTAGCAGAGCGTGACGACCTAACAGATTTGCTCTCAAGGTCTGACCTAAATAGTTCTGTAACCCATTTTATTCTTTCTATTCCAGCCTACAGCACCTTCTACATCATTGGCCTGGTGCTTTCCATGCAGATCCCCTTTGTGGGATTTCAGCCAATCAGGACGAGTGAACACATGGCGGCTGCAGGTCAGAAAACTGTCACCTTCAATTTTTAGGGAACAAAAATGTAGTATCTCTGGCGTATTTCTATAGTTGTAGCCAAAAAGATTTAATGCAATTTCTCTGCATGGTGTGGTTTAAGTTTACCAGTGTGTATTCAGAAAGAGTATGTAGTTTCCAAATATTCCATTCAATCCCATATTTTTGTGCTATTGTCCAACTTAATACTTTGAATGATATAATGTCATGACTTAAAGCTGGGGTACCAAACTTTCCAACCACAAGAAAATGGAACCATGTAATGAAATCAATGTAACTAGTTCCTCGCTTGAACCCGTTAGTAATTCTTGAGGCTCTGGTTTGTGTTGCAGGCGTGTTCGTGCTGCTGCAGGTTTACGCTTTCCTCCAGTATCTGAAGGACAGACTGACGCGACAGGAGTTCCAGACGCTCTTCTTCCTGGGAGTCGCTCTGGCCGCTGGAGTCGTGTTCCTCTCTGTTATATACCTGACTTATACAGGTTTGTATTGCTTCATGCCCGGTACTAGAGGAGGATGCATTTTGGCTGAGTGGTTAGGACTCTCTCCTCTCAGCAAGATGGCCTTTCTGATGTTCTTTCCGGGGACTATGTAGGTTTCCTCCGGGTGCCCCGGTTTCCCCTACCACTAGAAATATGTACAATACATCAACGTAGATGTATTGTACATATTTATACCCAGCCCCTGTACGACATACTACTACATCTGACTCCTCTAGTGGCATTACAGAATGGGTCAAATGCAGAAAACAAATATCCCTATGGGGAAAGCGTCACTTACGCACATTTTATTTTTCAGCCGTACAAGCCTCCTCACTTACTCACATATTATTCACGTTAATAACTTGAAAAGTAGTTTTCATAACACTACTGTGAACTGCAACACAGTGAATAACCTCTTTATGATAGACTGTTTTCTGCTTTCCTGCTGTGACAAAAGAAAATGTGTTAAACTATTACAATTACCCTTCACAATGACAGTTGTGGAGGGGTAATTGTGTTATGAGGACACCTCCACAGCAGACGGATCCATATTGAACTGTGAAATAAACCCAACGGATACTTTGACACAACAGCTTAGATAATTTGAGGAAAACCAGTATTGTTATTTGCAGGATTTGGGGAGCTTGTTAGAAACCAGACCAGGTTTGAAAGTGGGTTCAATATAAATGTTATTTGTAAACCATAGCGGTTTACACATTTTGAAAGTCTTTTGTCATGTAAATGCTAATTGAAAAAGCTAAACCAGAGGCTTTAGGACTGGAACACAATATTAAATGTTTTTGTGAAGTCAAAATACATCATGAATATGCACAATAGAACAGCAATAAAATAATAATAATAAACTTTCATTCATTCATTTTCAACCCCTTTATTAGTCAATTTCTGGGTGGTGGGGGGTGGCAATGAGAGCTGCCACCCAATGCTCATAGCACCAGTCCCTCTGATCCTCCTGCAGCTGGTGGGTCCACAGGAAGATGGCTGCTCCGTCAGCGATGACACAGCCTTGTTCTTTCAGCAGGGACTTTTGGCAATGTGGGGTTAAGTGTCTTGCCCAAGGACACAACGACAGCAGACATTAGTGGGAGCAGCAGTGGGGGAATCGAACCCACGACTCTACCAACTGAGCTACTGTTGTCCCTATAATAAACAAAACGGTAAAAATAAAAAATGAAAAAACTGTGGCTGGATCTAACATTGGCCCAAATAAAACACATTCAGTAATTGCTGGACTATTAAGCCCCCTGTATGTAAAGAGCACCATCTGAATAATAATAATCAATCATAATCATAAAAATATATATGTAAATGATCCTGGTAAATCTACTCTGGAGACAATAACATTCCTTACACTTGATGGATTCAAAATAATAATTCAAAAAAAATCTCTTCTATTGATCTACACATATTTCCCTAACATTTTCCTTTACTCTCTCTCTGCTGTTCACATAAACACTCAGAAGCAGGAATGTGTGCCATGTCATCAGCTCCTGAAATGAGATCAAAAGCTGTGTTCAAATCAGTGGGGGCGGATCCCGGTGTCAGCTGTTAATGATGTAATGCAAACCTGCGCTGCGCGTCTCACCGCAGCCGAAGCAAACCAACATGTAGTCCGTGAATTGCTTTAAAAGTTAAAATACGAACGAATTAAGGCACGAATGTCACTTTTAATGCAATTTGAGGTGAGAAGTTGATGGATCCGCGTTGTGATATGTGGGTTTTAAGAGTTTCGTGTAAAGTTTGTTTTAAGCAGTCCACTGCTCCTGTGAAACTACACTGCTATTGTACCCAAATCTGATTTGCGCATGAGCAGAAAGCCGCCAGAATGGGGAAAAAAACTGGATCTAATTAAATATTTAGTTTGAACACTATTGTTAATCATATTGAATACAGTACGATACATGCATTAAATTAAATTAATTATTTCCTTTATCAACCCGACAGACCAGTCACAGGACGCGTCATGGGCCTACTCAGGGTCAACTCAGGGACTGCTATCATAACAGTAGCAGTGTAGTTTCACAGGAGCAGTGGACTGACCAACAGAACACCGGCTTAAAAATGTCCAAGATGACGTGCGCTGACATGCTTGCAATACCACCCCAGGGCGATGGGGGTGGACCCGGAATAAGAATTCGCCAATGCTAATGTATAGCATCTTTTTACCTCTCAAACGGCTTTACAGGATGGTCCAAAAGTTGGCTCTTGGCCCAACGCTACGTTCCACATGTTGCTGTTCACAATGCTGAGGGAGTATATACTTTTTGGACCAGTCAAGTTTAGTCGCTGTGGAATTTTGAAGGCAGGTGTTCACATTAGTTTGATCGGCGGAGATAGGCGTGACTACGTTTGTTAATAATTACAGCTACAAAAATATAAAAATACATACATTGGTCACATCGCCACACAGGCCGAGGGTTCAACGAGGGTTCAGCGGCTTATAGTCCAGCGAGTACTGTAATTATTGCGTTGTTATTTTCCAGTTGGTGGCTTTGCACAAGCTGTAGTTGATTTTTATTGATTTTTTTAAAGTTCTTTTTGAATGCCAAGATGTAAATACATAAAACACTTGCATAGGTTCATATTGGTAAGAATGAGGTATGTGTAAAATCTAATGAGCCCTAATCTAATAAAGAAACAAATGTAAATAATTAATGTTCAAGAACAAAGCAATCATATATCTCTCTACATTTACTTTCAACACGTTGGTGCTGTTGTCCTTACATTATATGCTCAGTTGGGCATGTAATTAAAAGATTAAATAGTGTTTTAGCAGCATCTGAAGCGTGACATGTAAAAAACTATTCATAGTAATGGTCAATATAGCCCGCTTGCACATCACACATCTTACAAACAATGGGGAGGCCATGTCTGCAACTTGACTCTGGCCATTAGCTCCGGTGACGCTGTTTGTCACAGAGAAAACTCATTAGAGACTACATTATAGCCTCTCCAGTCGCCACAGACGAACATGCATGCTTTTTTTTTTTACTTTTCTAGAAAATGCCTGAGGAATCATCCTATTACACACTATACAGAAGATCTGTTTGTAGTTTCTGTAGTTTTTCTAGCGCTACTAACAATGGCCACAGCTAAAAAAATAAAAGAGTAGGTCACACAAATTAACCGCACAATAAAAAAATGACTTACTATTGAGTTGCGGTAACGCATAAAAAAATGCACTAATATATATATATATATATATATATATATATATGTATATGCATCCAACTCGATCGAGCCTCTTTGTGTTTGTGTCCTCCATTTACTGTAGCATTTCAACAATACATTCTGTTATGAGAGCAGAACATTCTGCATGCTCTGTCAGGAGGAGAGGGTCTTGGATCTCATCTATGTTGGATTTCATGAGGGGTACCAATTGTAAATGGCACCCTTTGATCCATGTCTCTGTAAATATACTGACGATCTCCATGTGTCTCCTTCAGGCTACATCGCACCATGGAGTGGACGCTTCTACTCCCTGTGGGACACTGGGTAAGTCGCTGCAGCCAGTGTTTGGGACCATCTCAGCGTGGGACAGTGGGTAATTAATGGGCTTTAAATGAGCTACTCCGAAACAGCCGTAGCATAAATCTCCACAAGTGCACGGGATAAAACGCTGAGGAGAGGAGCAGTCGCTGCTCCATGGTAGATTTATTCCTCCCTGGCTACCAGCTCATTTAACATGAAGCCCCACACTGAGCTTCTGCACTGGGAAATAACATTCTCAGTGTTTTATTTATTAATTTAGTATCCTTTTTCATGGAAAACACACAGTTATAAGGCTCACTTTAATGAAGAAAAAGTGCCTGTTAATTGTATCAGTTATAGAGGTGCTTGGCCTGAACATGTCACGGTGTCATTAGGATCCACATATTTTACTCCTTTGGTTTTTTCAACTGTTATTGTTCCTCCAGTTGAACCACAAAATTGTACTAATCCCACATGTGCAGTCAGCACTGTGAGCGCCAGTGCTATGCCTCAGTATCTTTAACTGTCTGTATTTGAAGGAAAGGAGAGTTTTGCTGCAGTGCAGTAAAAGTAGACACCAGATAACGGACATAAGCCAAAACATGGCTTCAGCATCAATAGGCTTTTGGGACTGTTTATTAGATGACACAATAGACAAACAACAAATATTGATAGTAGCTGCTCTTGCAAAGTCTGGTATAGAGCACACGGTCCCTAGATGAGGTAAATCTATCTAGAGCAGTGGTTCTCAAACTTTTCACACCAAGTACCCCCTCAGAAAATACTTGCCTCTCCAAGTACCACCACAAATGACCACACCACACAGTAGCGTAGTAAGCCGAAGTATTCATCAATAACAAGGCAGAGGTTTCATTCCTAAAGAAGTATATTTAATGTAATATTTTACACAGTTTCAACAGTAAGACTGCGCTTAAATATAGGAAAAAAAAATGTTTTAAATGTTTCATTCATTACAAACTGCAAAGCCTCACTGTGAGTGATATTCTGGAGTGGGATCTTTGTCCACAGAAGGTTTGGACACTGGTGCACTTTAGTTTCTAAGGCTTGTTCTGCTGCCCTCTTACATCTGTCGTTTACTCACAGAGACATGTTCTCATGGTTTGGATCAAATGATCGTTTGTTGCTCTCTGTCCTTTTGCACAGAACTGGGAAAAAAAACTGCTCCTTCTACATGGAACGTGTTGCAAAAAGACTAGAAATGATCTGATCTTATTTCCTTGAATGCTTTTAGATCCAGATTGAGACATCTTCAGTGAAATGTAACTGTTTTTATAATCCGTATTTTTATGAAATTGTGTGTTACTGTTGTATAATCTGTATGTGACTATTTTATCATCTGTATGTGACTGTTTTATCATCTGTATGTGACTGTTTTATCATCTGTAATTTTATGTAATTTTTGTACACGAAAAAGAGGTTCTCATTGACTGCCAGCCATTTTTTGATGACTTCACTGATTTTTAAGACTCACAGAATATTGTGTGCTATGAAAAATATGAAACCAGAGTCTGAAAGACAGGACTGTCTACTTTCAGCAGCAAAAAGAAGTTTGTTCTTAGTTTGTTTCGTTCTCCTGTGATCTCCAGTCGAAAAGAGGAGAGTGTGACAAAAAGCACCAGTCTTAGACAAAAAAAATTAGAAAATGAGGTTTTTGTGAAAACAGACGAACTGCAGAAAAGTGATTGTAAAACTATTTAGTTTAACTTTAGCATCTCCTCAAACATGTCCAGGATCTTAAGATAAGATAAGATTGCTTTATTTATCTCACAGAGGAGAAATTTACATGTCACATTTGGCATGGATAGAGACACTCAGATTGTGCAAAAGGAGGAAATGTGCAAACATGTTACATGCAGGATATATGTACAATAAAGTGACAATAATTATGTACAACAAAAGTGTCAATTGGAAACAGTGTCAATAGTAGTGCAGGTTTTCACACAGTGATCATTTAAAGTGACTTATTGTACAGTCTGACAGCGGTGGGGATAAAGGCCCTGCGGTAGCGCTCCTTCCTACACTGAGGGTGCCTCAGTCTTCCACTGAAGGAGCTCCTCAGCTCCTCTACAGTCCTGTGCAGTGGGTGGGAGGTGTTGTCCATGATGGAGGTGGCTTTGGCTAGCACCCTCCTGTCCCTCACCTCCTCCACAGAGTCCAGGGAGCAGCCCAGAGTGGAGCTGGCCCTCCTGACCAGCTTGTTCAGTCTGTTTCTGTCCCGCTCTGTGCTGCCCGGTGTTACATGTTAGAAAACAGCAACACGTTTTGAGAAAGTGTTTTTAATGTAAAATAATAAGTTTTATGGCACACACACATCCACAAAGTGTTGCTCAAAAATTTCAAAATGTACTCATCCAAAAAATGTCAAAATGTACATATTGAAAGTAGAGCCCATGACAAACTATGCCAGATAGAATGGCCAGTATTCATCCATTAGGTGGCGCTATATTTATGTCAATAAGAGTAAATCAAAGAATAACAAAATTACAATGATAAACACATGACAATAAATCAAAGTGAATACTTATACTTATAGTATAAGTGCAACAGAATACTGCTGTGTGTCTTTGTGTATTTGGGCGTGCATGTATGTGCGTTTATGCACGCGTTTGTGTGTTTTTATGTGGTTACATCAACAGAGCGTCTGTTTAGTCCGGCGTGCGCTGTGACCATATCTGGACTTTGCTGCTGGCTCCTGGTGTGGACTCAGTGATAATTTTAGCAATAGTCCACTTTTCTGTGGCTTTTTTGAGGTGCTCCACTGGTCTGCTGTCCTGACCCTCCACATGGTCTGCTGCTAGGACCCTCCACATGGTCTCTGTCAGCTCTGGAGACACATTTACTGCTCAAACTGCCTCCAAATGTAGCCTGACCCTGACTATATTACTCCATGTCTGCTTCACCTCTGTCTCTCCTGCTCAGAGTGCTCAGAGTGATCTTTGACCAAACCAGGGAGTTCTGCTGCCACCTGCTGGCTTAATAAAATACTGTCTACAGCCAAACCCCAGACTGTATGATACAGGGGACACAGACTGACAGGAAAAGATTGAAAAACAATGTTGTCCTCAAATGACATCCATGGCTGTCAATGAGTTAATCTCAATGGGACTTTCCTGGTAAAATTTAAAAAAAAAAAAAAATTTTTTTTTTTTTTACAGATTTTTTTTTTTTTTTCATAGATTCTTTGGCGTACCCCTAGAGGGCGCCCGCGTACCACTAGGGGTACGCGTACCCCAGTTTGAGAAACCCTGATCTAGAGCACTGTTTCATTTTAAAATAAACTATTTGTGATTATAAGATATGACTGCAACCTTTTGTATTTGTCATTCCTCATCATGTATCTGTTAATGCAACTCTCTGCAGTTATGCAAAAATCCACATCCCGATCATTGCCTCGGTGTCGGAGCACCAGCCCACCACCTGGGTCTCCTTCTTCTTCGATCTGCACATCCTGGTCTGCACCTTCCCTGCTGGACTGTGGTTCTGCATCAAGGACATCAACGATGAGAGAGTGTTCGGTGAGGCTGCTTTTGATTCTGTCTGCTCCGTGGGTCATAATTACATAACGCTCAAAGATCATAACGATTAATACATCTCTGTATGAAAAGATGTCCTTTTTAGTCGCACCAATGCTGTTAATGTTATTTCAACAAAGGCAGTAGCAGATCACAATACCATCTGGTACACTCCTGAATCTTATGTAAAAACAAGAAAATAAGTAGTTTTGTCGAGATATTGGTTCTTTTGAGTCAAAAGCATGCCATTCTGGAGTGAGTTATAAATAAATAAAGTAGATATAAGATCTTGGACACAGTATTTGACCCAGCCTGCCTGTGTGTTCGCAGTTGCGCTGTACGCCATCAGCGCGGTGTATTTTGCCGGCGTGATGGTGCGCCTCATGCTCACGCTGACTCCGGTCGTGTGCATGCTCTCGGCGGTGGCCTTCTCCAGCGTCTTTGAACACTATCTGGGAGACGACATGAAGCGGCAGAGCCCACCGGCCGAAGACAGCAGCGACGAGGACGACAAGAAAAACGCAGGCAACCTCTACGACAAGGTGAGGCTGCTTGGATTCACATCACACTCATTCCACCTGCGAGGGGTTGGGGATTCTGTGAGATGTATCCAAACATTTACTCTAATGGTATTTCTTACTCTAGAGAGATTTCAAAGTATGATTTTCGTTTTATTGTTTGTCATTTTAGTTAACATTATTCAAAATGCAATGATACATTTACAGTTCAAAAATGATGTGTTGTATTTAACTTTTTGTCAAGTTTCTATCGTTTCTTCAGTTTTTCACAATTTTTTCTTAACAAATAAAAATAATTACACAGATAATACAAAAATGTAATGCTCCAACATAGATTAAATCTTCAAAACCGAATCTTTTATATACTACATTGTAATTTGATTGAACCAAAGACCTGTGTGAACCCATGCGCTGTGAGTACGGTGTGAAAAACCAGTCTGTTTGGAATGACTTAATCTCACCATTTCTACTGCGGTTGAGCTGGAAATGTAACCAAACCGGATTCTTTTGAGGCAAGACTTAGCAGGTGCTTTTAAGAGCACACTGTATTTAGGCAGTTGTAGCTACTCGCTCATTTTAATGGTTTTAATGATCAGTCCCTCTCTGCATTCGTTTCACTGTTTGGTGTTGTTCTGCTGAGGAGTTGTGGCGCGTTTTAAGATCACTGTGGAAATTCAACAATTTGAATTTGAAGTGCTGCAGATGAGCATATGTAAAAATCAAAATGTCTAAAGTATACTCTATGTATGATTGAAATTTTATTTACATGTTCAGCATTTTAGAAATGGTTACGAGAAAAGTTACAAGACTCCTTTGATATGTAAAGTCGTACCAGACTGGTCGGGCTGGTTTGCACTGTAGGTAAAATCCTCCAGCTTCAGTCCTGAGCAACCACATCTAGAGATGGGTTCACGGGGGCGCTCTTCTACAGCGACCACTGCTCCTGACACACGCCCTAGTGGCGTCAGGATGGATCAAATGCAAAGGACAAGGTTCCCTACAGGGACAATAAAGTGCACATTTGCATTTTATTCTGAATCCATTATTCACAAATGCAAATCTACCAAGACTTTGCCGTCTGCCCAAACTCACAGTGTGAACAAGGACTACACATGTCAGATACAGACACGAGGCTAATGGCTGCTCTGGAGGAGCTGCAGACATCGTGCTCTATGCCAGGGATGTTAAACCAGTTCTCCAAGGGCCGATGTGGCTGAAGGTTATAATTCCAATCAAGCAGGAGAACAGCGGTCCTTTCTGGAAGCAGTTTCACACTCCTGCGCTACATAAACCTGGCCTTAAGGGGAAAATCGAAGGTCGATGTTGAAATGTAAGCCACTGGAAGCAAAGCGAAGGATAGATTCAACAAGTGAAAGAAGATACTGTGGTCAGATGTGTCCAGAATTTAACTCTTCGGCTCAAATCCAAATCCCTCAGTACATCATTCCCAGTGTCAAATCTTCAACAGACACAGTGAAGAGTGTCAGAGTGGATGGAGCAAAATACAGGACATTGTTGGATGAAAAGCCACTGGAGCTGAGGATTTCATGTAGAATTAACTACTGCTGTACTGCTGTACTAGTTCTTTTACAAACCCCACCTTCACTTCAAAGATGTCAGGGTCTGTTAGGGTCTTTGAGTAAAATATAAAAATAAAACACGACAAAAGGTGCAGAAGTTCAAGCTGTATTAAATACTTTTGCACGGCACTGGAGTTGGTGTATACAGGTGCTCCCATAGCATTTACTCATGGGGAACAAGGCTAAAGTAAAGCTGCATTGTTACTGTCCAACCAAAGGCGTTTACATGTTGCACAGTTAAAGCTGCCCACACTTCTCTGCTTGCAGCCTTTTGATGTTCAAGAATAATAATTTGATTTGCATATTTATAGTTTTTGGATTTGGCAGCGAGCATGAAGCAGATGCCATTTTACCAACAGATTTCTATGAAACACAAAGGGCCGTTTGAGTTTGAAGTACTTTTGTTTTAGCCAGCAACTTCCTGAATGGGTTTCTAAAAGGGTTTCTGTCCTTGATGCTGAATGTAGACATATTCTGTACTAGTAATATAAACGTTTGCTATGTAGTGAATATCTTGTAACAATGTATTAATTACTAGTTGCATTTTTATCCTACTATTGTTTGCTACTTTTAGAATTATCTGTTTTTGTATGGTTTGTGTGGGTGGATGTGTTTCTGCTGCTACTGGACACTTGAATATCTCCTACGTGGATCAATTAAGAATCTATCGAGTTGTATTAAGCTGCTTGTAGGTTTCCTCCAGGTGCTCTAGTTTTCTCTACCACTAATGACATGTAAAACAGTTGATGGGGGAAGGGCCTGTGTTTGTGAGTGCAACTGAAGGACAACATATGCAAACACAGCCCTAAAGCTAATATTCAAACCATTTCCTTTAAATTCTCTATACACACACGGCAGTCTCGTCTGTATTGTGGCTTCCGGGTTGGTGTATTTGTAGAACCTGCTTTATCTCAAACATGCAACATGCAGCGAATACTTGGTGACAAAAGAAACAGTTTGAAATCTATTTAAAAGCAAAAGGACCACGAGGAAATGACTACAGCTACAGGGGACACAAAATCTATCTTCCCTTTTTACAATTGTACAACCGTTGACTGATTTAGTTTAAGAATCCAGACAAATCTGAAAAAAATTGTGAACAATATTAATTTGTGAGTTTATTAAATATGTTTTGGGCTAAATAAAAAAGATAATTCCTCTGCTGTTCTTCCAAATGCAGTGAAATGGAGATTTGCACACCTGTTGGTTTTGTCCCCCTGAGCTGGTGAATGAATAGACTCAATAAAACTACCCAGCAGTTAATTCTGAAACCTGTGAATTTTCTCTTTGGGAACAATTAAGACTTGCAGTTGGCAATGAAGTAACAACTCATTTTTACAGTCAACCTGCGCCCTTTCTGAACCAAAAACCCTGTCGTAAAGTTTAGATGGAACAAGGTTTAATATTTAAACAAGGGATGGCTTAAAACAAAGGCAAAACATTTTTCAAACATCCCTATTCCTTAATCTGTTATATAGGATTTTTGATGTCTATATATGTATATTGATAAATGTCCTCTTTTTATATATATTTGGTTTATGTCTAATCTATGAAGGAGGATATCTGTAACTTAAATTGTACTGCAGGGTCATATGGTCAACATTATAAATTCCTATGAAAATACACTTGAAGTATTTTTTTATAAAAAATGCATCAGAAGCAATTCCTTCACCGGTAATCATTTCTGGAGGATATTGGGCTATATGTGCATATAGCCCATAGTTGAACCAATGGTCAGGGGCCTCAGACGTTTATACAATGGATATGAAATCATTGCAAGTCCCAGTTAGACCCACAGCCTCCTGATCATTGGACGCATTTGAAAAATCTCACTCCATCTTAGACAAACTGAGCATCACTTTAAGTCATTCCTAGATTCTCAAATTAACACATGCAGTGGAACCCTCCCGCATTAATGAGTGTCACCATTTTAGTCGCTCTTAGTCGCCATCTTTACTAACTGCTACAGATGCATTGTTTTCAGGCCGGGAAGGTGCGCAAACACGTGTCCGAACAAGAGAAGGCGGAGGAGGGGCTCGGACCCAACATCAAGTCCATAGTGACCATGCTGATGCTGATGCTACTCATGATGTTTGCGGTTCACTGCACATGGGTCACCAGCAACGCCTACTCCAGCCCCAGCGTGGTGCTCGCATCATACAACCACGACGGGTGAGCCACAACTACTGAACTACTATGGTCGTCAGGCAAATGACACGGTTGAACATTTCTGCTCACCTAAAGCCGTCTGCGACCAGGCTCAGGTGTAAAGGAAGTAACAATTAAAACCAAGATGTAGAAATGGTAATTAAAATCATAATAAAAATGATTTTTGATTCAGATGACAAAGTGGGAGAAACATAGGATCAAATATTTACAAAACAGTAAATAAATAACCTATAAAGCTAATAATCAAATGACGGAACCAAAAGTGCAATTGTTTAAACATATCTGACCACAACATGCTGTATTTATCGTATTAGAAAATATGTCATTGATTGCATTCTTGTATTTGGCTGAGTGAGGGTGGTCCTCTTTTTACTTTCTGTCTTGTTGAAGTAGCATTGTAATGATACGGAAATGTCAAGCATACATTCAATACGGTTTATTTGATAAACTGTTAATTATATCATATTTACACAAAGATATTGTAAGTGAGTACTTTTAAACTTAAACCCAGTGTACTGGGTGCAGCTCTGACTGCCACCCCCCTGACCCTGAAATGGATAAAGGGGAAGAAAACGGACGGATGGACTTTTGAACTTTATTTAATCTGCTTGATTGACGCATTTCACAATCTAATTGGACCCCTGTGCACTACTCATCAATTCTGTTGGTCTACTTCAACAGAAAAAAAAAAGCCTTGCCGCACTATAAGCCGCAGCCTTCAAAATGCAGGAAAAAAGCTGCGTCTTTTAGTTTGGAGTTTACGGGAATGAATGTGGAATTATTTTCAGCTGGAAAATTGCAAAGTGGCAAATTGAGTACCAGAAAGTTGGCATAGAGTTGGTAGTACTCAGTTTGCCACTTCATAACATTTCATAATTGGCTTCTACTCATGATCACAGTCGCTTCTGCAAAGGTGTAGGTTTGTGAGTATGTGTCTTATTTTCCTGTCCAGCTCTCGTAACATCCTGGACGACTTCAGAGAAGCGTATTATTGGCTGAGGCAGAACACTGACGAGCATGTCCGAGTCATGTCGTGGTGGGATTATGGATACCAGATTGCTGGCATGGCCAACAGGACCACCCTGGTGGACAACAACACGTGGAACAACAGTCACATAGCGCTGGTGAGAGACTACTTTTATTTTAAGATGTATTTACAAAAAAAATGCCAATGCAAGTCAGTAAATGGCAAATCCTACATAATCCACTGATAATCATCGTAGGGAATATGTTTTTTTTTGTTCAGGATCAAAAACAACTTTATCTGTTTTTATTATCATTGTCATTATTATATACATAGTTATAAACATCTATTAGTGTATGGCGCCACTTAGTGGACATGTGTAACAATACATTCACAACTATTTTACTAAAATAAATCATGTTAGATTGTTTTTTAATGTAACGTAACTTTACTTATGCTAACGTGAAACTTTGCTTATGTCTCCTTCAGGTGGGAAAAGCCATGTCTTCCAATGAGACCGCGGCGTACGAGATCATGAGGTCTCTGGATGTGGACTATGTCCTGATCATCTTTGGAGGGGTCATCGGTTACTCTGGAGACGACATCAACAAGTTTCTGTGGATGGTTCGGATCGCAGAAGGGGAGCATCCAAGAGATATCAGAGTGAGCCATGATCATATACTTGTGTAAATCACTTTAGTGATATCTTAGACTATTCAAAGCTATGTTCATATTCTGAACATGCTAAATGTGAAAATGTCTGAGATATTATTGACCAAACTGTTATGTTTGATTGAACTATAATAGTTTTGTTTTCACCTCTGTAGGAAAGTGACTACTTCACTCCTCAGGGAGAGTTCAGAGTGGACAAAGCAGGATCTCCAACACTTCTCAACTGCCTCATGTACAAGATGTCCTACTACCGCTTTGGCGAGATGCAGGTGTGTAGCTCTGACAACTATGAAAACCAGTCCCTTCACAACTTTACCACATGCCCCAATATCTGTCTTTTAAGTATGTGATGATCAAGCCAAACTGATTACAAATGCCCCCTAGTCTACTTTGGCACTGTAGAACTGGGATGAAATGCAACTTACTCCTTTGTAGCGTGTCAGATGTTGGCAGTGAAATTGAAAATCTGTTACGGTAGTTTGAGGAACGTCTACTTCAATATTGTTCCCAACTGTAGAATGCATTGCATTTATTTGTTTGTTTTCATTTATGACTTTTTGCCTTTGTATCCTATAAAGTTGGACTTCCGGACCCCGCCTGGTTTCGACAGGACCCGGAATGCAGAGATTGGGAACAAAGACATTAAGTTAAAGCACTTGGAAGAGGCCTTCACCTCGGAGCACTGGCTCGTCCGCATTTACAAAGTGAAGAAAATGGAGAACAGAGATCGAATGGAGCACAAGCTCAGGACCACTGATGCCAACCGACAGAAGTACACCTCCAAGAAGGTGTGAATTGGTTCATTTTGTTCATTATTTACAATTTTATGAACAACATTATGTCCTGGTACAGTAAGTCGTTACAATTGTAATGTCTCTTCTTACAGACATCCAAGAGGAAGCGTGGATTTGTCAAAAACAAGCTAAGTCTAAAAAAGGGACGAAAACTGATCAAGAAATCTCGATAGGCTTTTGCAGCCTCTATCAGAAGTGCCCACTGGACTGAAGAGAGGACGCCAATAAAACTCAACTAAATCCACCAATCAAAATAAACCAGAACGTCATGAAACGGCCCTATTCCAGGAAACCAGAGAGTGCTTTGGACTCCAGCTTTGCCCTGACGTAAGGGGCGACAGGGCTCTGAATATATGGGAGATTCTTTGGCTCGTCCCAGGACAGTCCCCTGTGGGTTTAAACCTGGGGAACTGCGATCTTTGACTAGCATTTCTTTTGTACTTGAACGTGTTGAGAGAGTTATAATATTCTGACTTCAAACGCATCCGTCATAACAGGAACATGTTTAAATCCTTCGGGGAAATGCTGCTCACACTGTTTAGAGATTTGTTGCTATTAAAGTGGTTTGAGAGAAACAGAATTATAATGAAAAAGTGTGGTTCAGATGAACTGCTTTTAGAACATTATTAGGTAAATTATCACATTTTCCATTCTGAAATGCAACGATAATGTTCTATTGTGGTCATTTCTGATAATACTAATGCCTGGTGCATTAACATACATTTTGATTGAATCTGTATTTCGCTTATCAAGTAGGTAAGTGCAATGCAACGTATGTTTATTAGTCGGTAAAATTCAATTTTACTTCAACAAAAGGCATGCATTAGGTGGATAGTTTCGTGAGTAATAGTGATAGATTCTTAGAAATAAAATGAAACATTGCCGTGTATAATTCCTTTTAGTAATGGAAGATTAAAGAATGAACCTCTTGTAGTGGTTGGTAAAAGTCCAACCAAAGTATAGTTTGTGCCATATAGAAATCCAATTCTTGGCTTCGAAAAAAACCAAACTGCTTTTTACTTCAACTAATTTACTGATAATTTGTGGTTTTAAGCCTAAATCTTATGCAGTATCTTTTAAATAATTCAAAAAACATTTCTGAATTCTGTTCCTCTCATACTATTCCAAACGCATTGGCCTTAAGTGTGATACATTTCCATAATTAGGGAAGTCAGCAAGGATATTTATTTCAGAAGAAAGTGAACGCAGCGTCTGATTGCAAAGACGTAAGAGATTTATGTTGTAATTTTTCTAAGTCAAGGGTTCTTCCATCAATTGTAATGATCTGGATGCAGGTGTGCGAATGAAACATGCCTTTTTGAATAAAGAGGTCAAAATAATGTGGCTCTGTTTGACTTTCAAAACATTTGACTCTACAAATCTTAGATTTTTAGTGGAAATCTAAAGTCTGTATAGTATTTGTATATTGCAGGTAAGAATATGAAGAGAAAAGTTGAAAGACCAAATCTTTTGTTTTTAATGTGGGATAAAACTGTGTATAAAAATGTACACATAGTCACAGACAGCATTTACATGAATGCATTGTTTCTACTTCACATTTTACAGCTCCTTTGTCGAAGCCAAAACATTCATACATTCAACACAGTGCTGAATGTAAACATAATCAAGCATAATGACACTGTTTAAACACGACACTACAACAGGGAAATGCAAATGAATTCAAAGGCCAACATTCAACAACATTATTCACTGTTTAGTTCATGGTCAATAGATTATCAGATTTAAGAAACTTAATTATTTTATTGTCACAGGTATTTATTACTCTACTATGGACACTGAAAGTCACATTTAGAATTCTATACAATGAAAAAAGGGTTTTGTCAGAAGGAGTATGTGCTTCTGAGATTAAAAAGAACAAGTCCCCTTGCTCTAACTTTAGAGCTCAGTCTTCGTCTTCATCCTCATCACCGAACGACAGCAAGCTGTTGTTTTTGACCTTTTTACCAGAGCTTTCCTTTTTCTCTGCCTCCTCCTTCTCTTCCACCTCCTTCTCTTTCACATTTTTCTTCTTTTTGCTGGAACTTGCAGTGATGCCCTGAAACTTTTCTGATGAGCGCTTGGCTGGTTTTTTGAAGACTATTTTTCCATCAGCCGGTTTTTCATCTGTACGAAAAACAAGACCAAGTCCAACATCAATAAAATTCCCCCTTCTAGAAGCCAACGTGAAAATTGGTACATTTGAGAGAACAGACAAGTATTGTACAAGTAACATTGGTGGGAACATGACCAGATAAGCAGATGGACTGTCTTTTGTTTAACCTCATCACTCAACATTTCTAGGATTACTTCTGTCTACATTTTATTTTGGATTTAGCGCCTTCTTCCTGGCAGCAATGTGTCTCCAATTGAAACATTGCAAAGATGTTTAACTGTTTAAGGAAAAGTGTTGTACCATCTTTTGTCCCTTGGGTCTGGTCCTTGATCTCCTTAGCCTCTTCTGCGGACAGGTCTCCACTCTTTAACACCACCACCTGCGGCTGCTCATCCTCACGGTCACTGCCACTGTCATCGTCCGGGGTCGGCATCATCTGGCGCTGAAGGGGATTAAAAAGAAACAAGCATATTTCATATAAATTGTAATTAGGTCCAACTAAATGTTTTTGTTTTGGAAGGTTTTTTTCTATCCAAGTGCAAAGGATAAATAAGTATTAGTTACACATAGAGACTACTCAGTGAGACAGATCAGAACAGTGACTATTTTGGTACTGGGGGTCAAGTTTTGATTTGAACATTAACACCGCATGACGAGACAACAACTGGTCGATCAACAAACACAGGGTTGTGAGATGAGCATTAAAGTTTGCACTCCTCCGAAGAGATTCGTTTAAAGCAGCGTCCTGTGATGTGACTAATGGCAAAATAACTCGCCTGATGAATGTAAACGTCTCAAATCTCTATTCAATATTACTAAAAGGCTACATGATTATCCATACCAGCATAAAAAGTAACATTACACCACAATGAATGGGAACTCTCGGAGCTGCTAGCTAGCTTAAGGCTAATCCTCACCTTTGTATCTACGTTGGGTCCTTCTTTGTATCCAACATCATTCTTAAACTTTTTCAGAAACGAAGGCTCTGCTGGCTTCACCCAGGACACTCCGCTGACTTTTCCTTTGTTCATTTTAAGCCTAAAATGACCCGAGCGATTTTAATCAGAGAAAGGGGGAAAGGGCTATGAACCAAAACACAATGATGTCATCACCGTGCGCCGGAGATCCCGTCACGTGACCCGAGCGGAAATGTCAACTAAACATGTAAAATGTCGTGTTTATTCCACGCTCAGCTCTATAGACAGAGTTCATGAGACACATGGTCATTCTTGTATCACTATTTTAGAGGACTGATCTTGTTTTGAGTCGACACACTTTTGTTTTGAAACTTGTCTGTTTTTTGCATTTCCCCTCACTCTTGACTTGAATCTGAATGACACTTCCCGGTTCTCTGTTTAACGCTAAGACTATATGGTGAATTATGGTTTCGGGCTGTTTTTATGCGGTATTAGCGGGTGTTTGTGGCGCAGCGGCTTCACTTTCCGCTAAACTGTCTCTAGGCGCAGGTTTCCTCAAACAAATGTGCGCATCTGGACTCAGTGGATGGACTCAGGGGCGAGGAGCCGAGGGCGACTGTGAATGGGTAAACACACATTTCACAGAACATCAACTTCAGTCAACCAAAAACACAAATATCCATGTCCACCTTGCCGACGGACTACAGTTCGAAACTGGAAGCATAATAGTACTGATACATTTACATGTTTGTTCATTCATGTGTACTGTCCCTTTTCTAAATAAACGAATAATAATGAAATCGCCAACACAGAAAAAAAAAAACAGTTCAAACACAAAAAAATATAGAACACATAGATATTGGTCCATAGGGGGGAGTTGACCAATGTCCATGAATGTTGATAAATGTTGGAGAATGTGGAGTGTCCTGGATCATCACCCCAGTCCTTTTTGTTAGACCCACTACAGACCCTCCTGCATCGGCAAAGACAAAAAAATCCTAAATCTTTTTTTTTGTGTGTCACATAGGTTGGTGAATGTAATCACTATCAAATCATTCAACCTCCAACTAAGATATTTCTACAACAATGAATGCTCATTTATTGATTGATTTATTAGTCATTCATAACTATCATGATGGTCTCCATTTGTGCAGCTGGATGTCCCCCTCCGTGTGCTGTGTGGAGGTTTGCTGTTTGTCTGTAATGCAGTGATGTGGACACTGTTCTCCAAAGCCCTGAGACTCTCCTCCTCTTCAGCCCGAGCCACTGTCACCACAACAGCCTCCAACTTCATCACCTCAGTAAGGACACTCGGATCCATCAAAAACATGTCCAAATGAAACAATAGAGGAATACTGTCACAACTACTACACACTATTGACATATTCCTTTAGAAATACATCAACAAAGGTTTGAAAACAATTACTAACAGTGAAATTATTTCTTACTTTTTCCCCACTGGGGTTTTGAGTTGTGACTTGCAGATGCAGGGCAGTGATGATCCAGGTCATTTATGGACATTGGTCATCCGCCCCCTATTGGACCAATGACTCCTTTCTGTTAATTATTGCATTTCCTGTATTTTAACCATTTTATTCTATGATCTGTTGAGGAATCGATGACGTTGTAATGTCCTCTGAGACGACTGCTGTTGTGATTTAGGGCGATACAAAATACAATGAGTTGAAATAAAGTGTGGTTGTAATTCTAGTAAATTCAACTGCCAATGCTACAAGCAGCTAGACTAATTCTGTTGTGATGATGAAAGTATTGATAATTTTTGTTTTCTCAAATACCACTCTGATTTCAATGATACTCATGTGTTCTTGCAGGCTGTGTTTGGTCACTTCATCTTTGAGGAGACCCAGGACACGTTGTGGTGGATTGGTCTGTCCCTGACTCTGTGTGGACTGCTGCTTCTCCATGGATCTACACCTCCAAGTCTACAGGAAAACGAGGACAAAAAGGACCAATGACAAATGTGTCTGTATCATAAACACAATCAAAATAAGTATGAATGATGTGGACTCCAAATCTTGAAGGAACACTGACATTTTCTCACCATAGTTCACCATTTACAAAGTGACTGGATTCTTCTCCGTTCTGACTTCTGCTGATCTTTCTCATACGGTTGCTCGTGATAGTTGTTCAAAGCAGTGTTTCAACCATGGTTTCAACCATGGCCCTTTGGCATTGGCCTATAGTGTCACTTCAAACAAAACACTAAAAAATAAAATGCTGACGGTGAAACTGACGTGTCTAGTCCAATATGGCAATCAATTTATTGATCAAAATACTTGAAAAATTAAAAATAGGTTAAGAATACCTCTTAAGCTGTAACATAAATACGGTATTTTAAACCTACAGGCTGGAAGACTCAGAGCGCGCCCCTGCTGTATTTGGCTCCAATTTGAATCAAAAGATATGTTTTGTTGCCCACCCAGAACTACTGCAGTACTAAATGTTACCACAAGATGTCAGTATAACAATTATCATACTGGGCAAGGGGATTCAACTTTTAAAAGCCAACAGACTGCCACATTTTGAAGACTGAGCCGCAGAAACAGAACACGTTCAAAACAGAACACGAGAATGATGATTAACATTCATCTTTCTTTTAGTTTTGTTTCTAGATTGTGTTCACATTTATTTACAATATATTGCACAGACTTTGTATTTGTATATGAAATACATGTATTTATTGAAAAAAAAACACACCAAGTTAACACCACAAGAATGTACAGGCAATTTTAGTAAAAAAGCCCTTCAAGACATCTGCTGCTTATATTAATACACAACAGGAGGAACATCTTAATATTGAAACCATAACCGTTAAAAATGAAGATGTGAGAGTAAAAAAAAGGTAAAAGAACCCAAAAATACAATTTATAAGACTGTTTTCATTGTCACATAGAGGAAGATAAGGCACATTGTGATCTAGAACATTTAAAAAGGCAGGAAAGTGGTTCATGCTTTACATACTAGTTACGTTACATGCAAGGTATAGAGAAAAATACAGCACAAGGAAAGTCCTTAAAATGAACCCGTTCAAATGTTCAGCCGAGTTTAAAAAGGCATTCTTGCATTTCTTCAGGCAAAAAAATGAGCTTAAGTGCATCAGTGCTCTCCAACTGCACTGCGGAAACATCTATTTAAATACAGGGCGATAGAATATATAATTGTCTAACTAATTAACATCTCACAGACAAAATGCCATCTCATTGTGGAAGGGCACACAGGAAGTACTTACAGATGTGAGTATTTTGTTAAAGTTGTTGAATGTTATGACGTATTGCCTGTTTTCATTATTTTACCAGTAAATCCGTAAATCCACCAAGACGTACAGCAGTTGACATAATATTGCTAAAATAAGATGGCGTCCATGGTTTTGACAATTTTGTGAAAGTTTGTTGGAACAAACGTAACTGCTGTAACCAAACAGGGCCAAAGGTTTTCATACAGACCCATTATAAACTGCTGATTGTGACAAACATATGTTGTCACAATATTTTTGGTAAATATTAGGGGTGTAACGATTAATCGATACACATCGATTAATCGATATAATGCTCTACGATTTGTTGGCATCGATGCTAAACGTAAACATCGATATATATCGGCCGTTTTTGACCTAGGAGATTAGACGCGACTTTATTTTGATATCCAGTTCATTGTTGCATGCTTCCTCTTTCCGGGAGCAGTGCGCGGCGCGGCGTGTTGTGAGGCTCACACGCCGTCTATACATAGCAGGCACGTGAAAGGGGAGCCGACGGCTACGCAGCTCCTGGGCGGGTGCTATGGCTAATGTCCAAGAAGACGAGGAAATTCAAATGTCATTTTAGAATACGTTCCTGTCGCAAAAAAAACCAAAGCAATGGAGGACCTGTTTGGGGACACATACACCACTGTGAGCAGCAGCTTTACGAAAACATCCAAGCAGCGGGCAGAGATGGAAGTAAATAAATATAAAGAGACTGAATTATTAACACTCAAAGGTAATCTGTTAGAATGGTGGGGAAGTCATGAAATGGAGTTTCCCCTCCTTGCAAATCTAGCCAAAATCGATCTCTGTATTCCTGCTACAAGCGTGCCCTCCGAGCGTGTATTTAGCACTGCAGGTGACATTGTCCGCTCAGAACGGAGTGTTTTGACACCTGAGCATGTCGATCAGTTGATTTTCTTGAAGAAGAACCTAACAAAGAAAGCAATATCACATCTTTCAATGGACTAAACAAACATGTGACAAACTACTTTTGATTTTGCACTACATGTTGTATTATTGGCCATATTGAACAGTTCAGAGTAGACAAGGTGTAATGTTGAAATTCTCTATAAAGAGTTATATATTAAGTTATTTTTGTTATGTAGAAGAGTTAAATAACACCATACATTTATTTATAGTTCTCCGTTATTGCTCTGGTTTATTTATTTTTGCATTTGGATATGGTCAAAGTGTAATGTTTACTACATTTTTGTTTTGTAATGAAATAGTTCAGTAATGCACTTTAAAGTTGAATGGTATTACAAAAAAAAAAAGAGTTCATTGTACTTTACTTACATGGGAAATAAAAGTTCAGTATTACAATAAGCACTTTGTATACTACAATACTCTAATTGCCTAAATAAAGAGTTTGCAGTACCTTGTTGATTGTGTATGAATTGTTATAAATCAGGATATTATATATCGATCGTGGAGCACTATATCGTGATGTATTGTGAATGAATCACAGCAGACTTTAAGATATCGGCAAATATCGTATCGTGGTTCTTTGTATCGATATGATATCGTATCGTGACAAAACTCGCGATTTACACCCCTAGTAAATATAGACATGTTTTTTATGCATGAATTGTCCCTGAAAGGCAGTTTGCATTGACATGTGCGGGTTCCCGTCTCGAAGCAGCGCTACTTCCTCTAAACACAATTCGGCTTTCATGCAGATCGTGTCTGGGCACATTCCATTTGTAAAAGCCATTGTACAATTTGAAAGAGCAAAAGATATTTTTAGTTCTGACAGTAAAGTATTCACGTATACATTAGAACATAAGTTATCAAATGCGCGTCACATTTGTTTTTTGGAAGACAATGTGTAGAACTTTAACACTTGTAAATAGTGGCTTAAAGTTGGAAGTTACAAATATAATAAATATCATATCTCATATGGCTGGTTCCTGTAGAAGAAAACACTGTACACCTTTAGCTGAGCGGTATCTCGATGACATCCTGTTCGATGATCTCTCCTTGTGGGACAGGCTCGTGCTCCTGGGGGGAGGGTTTACAGCTCAGTCCAGAGAAGGGGCTGCACCAGGACAGAGACAGGGGGCCTCCAAACGCAGTCCTTATGGCCTCTCTGCAGGGGACCTTCTCCCAGCGACCCACCTCGCCTTTCAACCGCTCGATGCCCTGGAGGAAACGAGCACAAGAGGAAAGTTCAGGATTAGTGCATATTTGAACTCTTCAGCGAGATGCAGTGAGCACCCCCTGGCAGCAAGCCAAATTTATTTTTCCTTTTAATAACGTTTTTTCTCTGATACGTTCATGTGCAACGTCATTAAAATAGAGCTCGGGATGGAATGGGAAATGTTCATACAGCTGAGCACAATGTCCACAAATACAATATAAAAAAATAAAACGAAAAATAGCCATGGCACAGTACACTACTGAGACAACACAGTTACCAGCCGAGTCAGAAAACCAAGATTACGCTCTTAAATCCACGCATTGATTTAACTGACAATGACAATGACAACACGATCCCGAGCTCTATGCAATCGTTTTTTTTAGGACAAATATAGAACATGCTCCGATTAGGGTCACAAATCAACACACGAGATAGAATCATGCAGTGTGGGTCAGATTTCACTCATTCATTCACAATGTTTGGTTGTACTGGACACAAACACAGAAAACTCAGCTACTGAATGCTCTTTTGAGTTGGTAAAATATGCATGCTTTAACCACTAGGGGCAGGCTTACCTCTGGAGACCACAAGGCTTCAGAGACACTTGGACAAAGAATTTAACAACCAAAGCAAATGGATGAGTGTGGACAGACAGTAGAGGGAGAAGGGGAAAAGGGGAACAACAAGAGTTCAAGGAGAGGGAACGGGAGAACTGCAAGTAAAACCTGGGCCACAGTCACAAGTGTTAGGCATCAATAAATTTATTCTACACACATGTGCTGAAATAGATTTAATAAGAAGTTCTGTAAAAAACCTGCAGATTTTCAACATAAGACTAGCTTCACATGCATCCAGAAATAAATACAGTAAGTAATGGGCAAAAAACAAAAACAGGGTCTTTCCCTGCTTCATTCATATCCAGTAAAAAGTTGCCAATTATCCATAGAACTGTTCTGCTACATGGCATAAACAAAGACAGAAACAAAACACAGCTCCAACAAAACCTGTGCATTTCCTCAAGTGCAGCTTCAGTAAGGCCAGCTTTTCCATCTCAAAGAAATAACTTGTTCTAGCTTTGCATAATTCACAAAATAACGTAATTTGGATATTTGTCACTGGATGTAATCGTCAATAGTACAGACATTTGAGGAACAACTAAAATATGCCACTTTCTGTTTATGAAGTCTGGAAGGATGCAAAATCGGGCACAAAATTGCAAACATTTTGGCACAAACGAAGCGTATGGCATCATTCCTCTTAAAGGACACATTTCTACAGCAGCAGAAAATCAGAAATGAATCAGTGCATGTTCCACGCAAAAAATTATTTGGTTTTTTCTCCTTACCATAGATTTTTATTCAGAAGGCAGCAAACTCATTATGACCCATGTGTTGTTTTCATATGACCGATTTGTCTTCATCTCCCCGGAATTTAGGTTGAGCTGAACATTGGAGTCTTCACATATTTAATGAAGTGCATGGTATCTTTCGTACAGACTGCGGTGTTGGTGGTGCCAGATTTAGTACTTTATTTTAAACATGGTGGAACGTACAGCTGATCAGTCTGCTCACGTCAGATTCAAAGGGCCAGTGTAATCTAAGAGCACACAAATCATTTAAAGGCTTGTACTGTTTTTGTGTAGTCTCACACCGAGTTTCTTAAATGTATGTTATAAAAACAGCTCTTGATGCAAACGTTGAGTTGTTGGCATTCAACTCCTTTTTTAGTTAAAGAAATATATAAAAAAGTTACTTTAAAAAGACTGTATGGGGCTAAATATTGTAGAGGATGTCTGGGCAGCAGGACTCAGCCCGAGGGGATGTTGTGGGTCTGCGCTCAGCTGCTGTAAAAGGCTCAATAGGGGTCGGGTGCAGACAGCACTGAGGACTATCTGGACCCAACATAATCAGAGGAAAAAGCATGTGATGCTCGCTCACATCAGACCTGCACAAGTTTTCATACAACTGTTGTTGGAGTCTTTTAGAATGGGACTCTAAAGAGTTTGTTTTAAACCATTCCATTGTTTGAAAAAGGCTTTAAGTTTCAAGTGTTTTGCTGACACTAAAAGCTTTTCTTCTAACTCTGTCCCTGCTGAAGAAAAGCAGCCCCACAGCATCATGCTGCTACCCCCACATGTAACATTGGGGATGGTGAGGCTGATGAACAGATTAAATAGTTTTGCGCCAAACATAACATTTTGCATTTGGACCAAATTTTGGTCTCATCTTCTTCCACATGTTGAATGTGTCCTCACTTTGCTTTTTGGGGATTTCAACACTGGCTTTCTGTCACCCACTTGTTCCTAAAAGAGAGATTTGCGTAGTGTAAAATCCTAGCACTATATAGTACTTCTTCATATATATTACACAAATATACAAACAACCTTTGATGCTCTGCTTTCTACATCTGAAGCTGTGTTTCATAGATTGAGAAAATCAGGACAAGAAGATTTGTTACAAACATGAAGTATTCACAGAATGCTACTTACAGCTTAGGTTTAATCTAAATACTTGTCATGGCAAAAATAACAAAAGTCAATATGGAGGAAAAATATGGATATTTTTTTCCCCATAACGCCCAATTCTATTAGAAATCTGAAAGGGGTTCATTTGGTATCTGATTATCTGATCCTTTGAGCACTCCAGTTATCCCCCTTGTACCAGGCTCTGTATATAATATGAATTGTGAACATGCGGCAGAGCGGTGACATTTGGGGCATGGTGGCTATAGCAGAATTCAAACCAACAGGACAATAGTGATTTGGTCTGATTGGCTAATACTGTTTATGTTACAGGATACACTTTAAAGGCTGCATCCGAGTTCAGCAAAAACACCTCGCTTCTTTCATGGGCTTTCTTGTCATTTAAAAATGTAGTTAATGAGGTGGGGCAGCTCAGTTTTTGTAGAAGTTTATTTTGACAACTTTAATGTTTTTGCCACTTAAGTACATGCTAATGAAAGAGAAGGGAAAGGAAGGATGTTCATCCATCCATTTTCTTCCGCTTCATCCATTGCCGGGTCGCGGGAGCAGCAGTCTAAGCAGAGACGCCCAGACTTCCCTATCCACACACACTTCCTCCAGCTCGTCCGGCGAGACCCCAAGGCGTTCCCAGGCCAGCTGAGAGACATAGTCCCTCCAGTCCTGGGTCTTCCCCGGGGCCTCCTCCCGGTGGGACGTGCCCGGAACACCTCCCCAGGGAGGCGTCCAGGAGGCATCCGGAACAGATGCCCGAGCCACCTCAACTGGTTCCTCTCAACGTGGAGCAGCAGCGGCTCTACTCCGAGCTCCTCCCGTGTGACTGAGCTCCTCACCCTATCTCTAAGGGAGCGCCCAGCCACTCTGCGGAGGAAGCTCATTTCGACCGCTTGTAGAATGAATGCCCAGTCCTCTGTAGAATGTGCAGAGGACTGGGCAGCGGTTGAAGGCGGAGACCTCGGCGACCCAGTCCGCACACGCAAGGTTTTACATGTATTATGTATTAATTCAGATGCAGACCAATTGTTAGTGAGCGTCTGCAGTGTGATATATAAGGATCCTCATCTGACCGCTGTGTGCTGTAGTCTTTTGTTATGGAGCTGTGACCCTTGCTTATAAATTGTGCTGAATAATTACAATGGCAGTCATGCATTCAAAAAGAGCGTAATGTAGTTGATCATTCATTAAACCATGTGCAGTGCCTTTGATTATTGTGTGGCTTAGATAAGCTGGCCCTTTAAGTACAAATGTTAACAGTGAGCGATTGATTAAAAGTAAAAGAAAGGTGCATTCATCTGTTATCTTTCATCATCACCGTCACAAGTCGATATGCAACTTTCTTTTTCTCTGTCACGTTGTACATGAGAACTGACATAATAGTAAGTTGGTCACTGACAAAACAACACAAGCTCATGATTGCCCAGTAGGCCAGACTCAGACCACATACTGGTAGGTGTCAGTCTTGCCCCTCGGGTCAGGTCTGGAGAAGGGGCTAAACCACAGTAATGAAAAACGATGTCCAAAAACAGCCCTCAAGTTCATCCACTTAGTTTTTTTAGCCCATCTTCTCTCTTCCTTTTTCAACTGCTCTATGCCCTGAAAAGAGACAACCAAGCTTCAGTTGGTATGTCAGTAAACTATCAACGAAAGTCAAACTTTATAGGTGCTGAAAATAAATGAGTAATGACTTAAAAGTGTTCACAACTTGGAACTTCTCTAGTGCTCCATCCCATGTCTACAAACTGTGTTCAGACTGTTACTGCAACTCTACTAAACCTGGGTACACACTACACAACTTCTGTAGAGTCGTCAGTTTTGGGATATTATGAAGGTGCAACAATAGACGAATGTCATGTGACTGTGAAAAAAAACTGTATAACACTATAATTGATAATGTCCAAAACAATGCACAGACCAAAAGCAGCAAAGAAAGTTACATTTATCATATGATTTTCCTATGAAAGAAATATCCTCCAACAAAATTAATGGGGGATGAGCTTTTACAACATACAGCACAAGTGTTTGAGGAGTTATGTCAACAGAGTGGAGGGGTGAATACTGCTTTAAAAGTATAAAAGCAGTGCGTGTGTTTACTGCAGTATTATTTTAAGTAGTTCAGAGCATAGGTCGCTATGGTCATTGTGGGTCTCTTTGTATGGAGAGGTCTGTAAACAGCTCCGAAATCTGTGTAAACCTGTTTGATAGACCACGACTGAGGTCACTAAGAATCTTTAAAAGAAACACTTTACACAAGTGGAGCTTTCAGTCAGACGCAGCCAGACAACACTGTGGCTGAACAAAGCACGGCCACCTTAACTGACCATTACTGACCGTTACTGACCACTACTTGAACTCAATTACATGAAGCATGTAGTGTGTCCCCAGCTTTAATCACTGCAGTTTTCACCTTGTGGAGGAGGACGTGTAAAGACGTGTGTACATCATGCACTATGATCACTAAAGCATTATCGCTTGCCTTTAAGAAATTATGAAGTTCTGTCAAACAGTAGCTGAAACCCCTTATCTTTTTCCTATAAATTTAGAGAAAATATGTTCCAAGCAAAGCGCAGTACAACACAAATGCTGTATTCATGCTAAGATTACAACATTCAGCTAAAAGACACGTGATATTGGTCATGGCCACATCACGAGACAACATCGCAGATTTCCCTTGCTTCAGATTCACCATGTTTGTCTGTTACTTCTATTTCTGAAACCTTGACTTTGGTTGATAATGAGCTTGTTTGTTTGAATCACAAACCTGTTTATAGGACTTTTAGTCAGTGAGTCTCATGTGGTACCCAAACCAGACATATGTTCACAAGTAGAAGCCGTTAAAAAGGTGTCTGTAAAATGTTGATCCAGCCAGATCCAACCTAAGCCTGCAGCTAATGTTATATAAGAAGAGTTATTGCTTTCTGTGTGAATTTATTGGCAGGTTAAGCCTGATAGAGACCCACGTGTTCCACAAGCAGATGTTAGCAGCTCTCCAGCACCAGAACCACTGGGCCGCATTCTCCCTCTCCCTTGCAGCCTGGGCTCTTCTCAGCTTCCTTTATGCTACTTTCCTTCACGCCACATTTATTTGAACACCCATTTTTCTTGTGGAACATTTTGCTTTTACATAGACCTAAAAAGGACCCAAAGCTTCAGTGTGTAAAGATGTTGGTATAAACCACCTCCTGCCATTATAGATTGACAGTGTAAATGTGCACTTTGTTATAGATGTGTTAACAATAGGGAAAAACTGTATGCATCTGCTGTACAGTTTTACTCTTTTGTCAAGAAAATTCATTCCGGAGACTGCAACAGTTTGCATTCAATGTGTCTCTCGTGAAAAACTTGACCTCAGTGCTGTGCGTACCTTCTCTTTTGCAGAACAATGAGCACTTTGTCACTCCTTCATAGTGTGTCTATAAGAACACGATGGAATCAACTTGGACACTGCTCCTGCATCAGAGCCTCTGATCCATTTGTCACAACTGACACACTACCAGTTACCAGATTGGAAAAGAAAAAACGAGAAAACATACAGGCTAGAAACCAGGAGATACTGTAGAATGTGTTCTTTTATTGTAATAAGGAATATTAGTCAGATTATTAATATTAGTCACATACACTAAAAACCTAAAGTTGAGTGGATCAGCTTGTTTGGACTGTGCCACTTAAACACCGGAGTGACTTATAGTCCGACAAACAAGTTTCAACTTATTCTTACTCTCTAGTCTTTTTCATTCACATTGTTGTTGTTAAAATGTGCATCTTTATCACAGTATTTTTTTATTTATATTGATTTGAAATGAAAAAAAACCCCCAAGAACATATATATAATTAAATACGGTTATTGACTGTCAATCTTCATGTTGATAAATTGAGTAAAGTTGATATTGTAATCTTTTGATTTTTTGCACTTAGTTGAACAAGACTAAGTTCCAGGCTTGTTTAAGATTCATATCCATCATTAGGGTAAACACTATTGTATTTGAATTTGAACATGTTAAAAGTACAGTATGAGGCGGCGGAGAAGGCTGTGATTTTGAGTAGGGCACTTACAGTTTCGTCGGTGCAGATGGAGTGAACCTGGGTACCAAACATCACAGAGGTGAAGATGAGGAAGAGGATGCCTTCGAAGCAAAGGAGGATGAGGAGGAGGACTGTGGCTGGAGGAGAGAAGGAACTGCACTCTGGGACACGGGAGAAAGGGAGAGGGCAGAGGCATGAGAGCAGCCAGCCCCATCTAGCTACACTATAAAGCACTAATACAGGGAAAACACAAACAACTAGGAGTCAACCGATTTTTTCAGGGCGGATACCGATAACTAATAGTCAAGGGGATCTTTCAATGTCGGCTCTTACTATCATTGTGAAGCAGCAAGCAATTCACCAAGCGTTAGATTGTTCACCCACTAACAGGGAACGTATTATTCAACGTATTAGTCAGTTAAAAGTTAGACTGGTTTAAGTACTTAAAACAGTCATAACTTGTAGTAAGACAAGTAAGACAATATATTTGCTTCATTATTGAATTGCTTGAGTTCTAGTCGTTTTATTCTCTCATCTGTTGGCAAATTGGCAACTTTTGTCAAATACTGGGACAAATGTGTATCCACTGTACTTGTATATTGTCCTTTGTGACACCAGCCCCCCTGGGACAACAATTTAGTGTGTTTACATCAAGCCCCGGTGATCCAAGATGGCGCTGTATTCAAATAAATGGTTTGTGCTCAGTGGCGCATGTGCTGGCACGGTCGCTGACATATTAGCGGAACTCGCCATATCACTCGCTATATTTGGGCATCGTCTGGTCCTCCCGGTTCTGCGCAGTGGATGATCTCCCAGGATGCGTTGTGCCAATTATGCATGTGTGGCTTTCATGCACGTGCACAGAGGGGCTCGGCTCCGCTCTGACCAATCAGAGAGCCAGACAATCAGAGTTTGTGGCACTGAAATTTCTGGGTAACCCACGTGAATTTAGTCTGGTTTAGTCTGCAGTACCACGAGAATCCCCCGAGCACGTGGGTTCTTCAGCTCCAAGCTAGTAACACCCTATTCAGTTATTATAATAGATTCATGGTTTACATTCATTCTTCTAACCATGTGTGTCTATTATCAAGCACTGTCCCAAATAAATAAATAAATACATAAGCCTGCCGTTGTGAATTAGGGCTATACAATAATTAATACATTAAATTGTGTCAAGATTTTGGTTAATACAAACTTCATCACTTAAACTTTGTTTAAAAGAAAACAAAAAACTAGCTGCCACTGTATAGAGTGATGTAATGGAGACTTTCTGGACTGGGGAGTTGATGTGATCTTGAGTCCAGTAATTTAAGTACATTACATAAATCTAAATAAACCAATCCAAACTAAACTGACTGACTAAATTGCAGACTGCCCTGCCCGACCCGCCTAGGAGTGCTTCAGTCCTGTACCGGACCTGTCCACGTTCAACGGCCGCTGGTCCACGTTCTGTAGCTTAGGTCCTGGATCTAAAGCCCGTCCGTGGGAGCGGATCCCTTTCTCAACTTGTGGGTCTCCCCGAGGTTTCTCACTTTTTTCCCCACTGGGTTTTTGTGAGTTTTCCCTTGCCACATAAGAATAAATTGTATTGTATTGTATTGATTGGTTTATTCATTTGAGCAATATTTAAGTATTTACATTTCTTAGTTTATATGACTTTTGTACATTTTCTTTTCTTTTGTAGGTGGCTGCCTTGTGACAATGTAGATTAGTCGTTTAATGTGGCTAGGATTTCTATTGATGGGTGACAGGGGAAACGCTGAAAGATCAAGGACTAGGGATGATAATACAGTATGTATTAATACTTACTGGACCAATCGTCTTCAAAGCAGAAGAGCAAATGGAAGACCACCATGAATAAAGCGTGCAAAGAGACGAGTGCAATATACATCTGGTAAAACACACACACACACAATAACACATCAAAAGACATTATCTTCCCCTTTATTTAATAGCAATTAAAAGTCTGCCACAGATTCCCAAATAGGCTAATGTAGGTAAAAGTACTTAAAACATTAGAGTCAAAGATTACATTTAATAAACAACTACTTACTGTGAAGAGTACAAAGTATTTTTGGTTGTTCTCTCCCACACAGTTGTTGACCCAAGGACAGTGATGGTCCATTTTTCGTATACATCGCTTGCAAACGCTAAGGGCATACAGCAGGGTTGGGGTTAGCACAGCAGGATGGACATATGGACATCTTCGCACAAGTGACATTCTACCAGCTAAATAACCAAGGAAAGGTTGAATAGACATTTGGTGGAGCGCATGAACATCTCGATATGGCACAAAGACGGACAGCACTAACCCGATAGTTTGCTGAGGCCATATAAAGGAAATGATGGCTCCCGTTCACTTTCATTACAAAGGAAACACCTCCATCTAACTCTGTAACCACTCACCATTTCGAGCTGTTTGGGTTTGAACGTCAATCCAAGTGCTTCTATTTCAATATTGTGTTTGATGTTCATATCTTGATACGAACATCAATAGCAGACCTTCATCATGGGCCTGCTAGCGGCTAAGCAAAGTGAGCCGAGTGGGAGAAGCCTCACTCCAGACACTCTCATTTGGAGACTTTTCAGCTCAAAATGATCACCAATGGAGCCAGTCAGAACTAAAAATGCTTTGTTCAGGTGCATTCTAGGATTTGGTTATATATCACAATATCTAATCCCGAAATTTTTGTATGGAGTAAAAATCGCGATAAAAAAATAAGGTGAGAAACAGTAGCATTATTATTATTAGATTATTTGTAATTTGTTTATTTTCAAAGTCCTCTAAAACTATCCTAGTCTATCCTAACGTGACCTATCTATTGTGATGCGTTTGTAACTTGAATTAAAGGCAATGCACCCCCTCAGTGCACTCTTCAATATTCAGCCAGATTTATACAGAGCCAGACGCAGGCAGAAAATCTAGAACAGTACAAACAAACAACTGCTGCACATTGTAACTCCCTCTGGACGTGCGTGTAACTGTGCTAGGGGATGAGTTAACACATCCAATTTGAAAATATCTCGTAGAGTGCAGAGTCAGACCTCCTCCTAGACCTACTGTTCTATTGCTTTGAAATAAATCTTGCATCCAGACGGTGATTGAGTAATCACTTGTTCACTGGGCCCTTTTCCAAATTTCTTCCAAATCCTCCCATAACTATTTGCATTATGTTGCTCACAGACAAACAAAATTCCAGTGATGACTATTCCGCCTGAGAGGACAACAATAATCAAAATGAAATTAGATTTTCCAGTCATACAATAAACAAAACAATCAACCAAGGAACATTGATACCAAACTCTTCTCAAAAAGCATTTGTGCTGTATTCTGTCATACCTGCAGTGATGTGCTCGGTCAGGTTTGATGCTACTGCATTTGGGACATTTGTAAACCACCTGTCCCGGCTTCAACTGAAGGCTCTCGATATACTCTCTAGTGGCGTTCCCCTTTGGCACAGCTCCCTGAAGGCAAAACAGACGGCTAAAGCATTTCCTGCACCACACTGATCATTGGACAATCGTTTACTTGAAAATAAGTCAGAGTATGAAGATGTGTCCACTGACAAACGTCAGATGTTTTTATACATCCCAAGGACGTTATGAAGTCTGAGTCATCACCAACATTCAGCTGTAGAATTTTACCTTTTAACCATTCTTCTTGTCTCCAAGTTACTAGAATATGTTTCACCAAACTTATATGAAAGATGTTGGAGAAAGTTTACACTACCGTTCAAATGTTTGGGGTCACATTAAAATGTCCTTATTTTTGAAGGAAAAGCACTGTAGATAACTTTAAACTAGTCTTAACTGTAAAGAAACACACTCTATACATTGCTTATGTGGTAAATGACTATTCTAGCTGCAAATGTCTGGTTTTTGGTGCAATGTTGTAATTGCTGCAAATGGAGGATTCTTTGACGAAAGCAAAGTTGGATGTAAAACAAATCTTATTTCAAATACAAATCATTATTTCTAACCTTGTAAATGTCGCTAGTGTATATTTAATTCAATGAGCATGTCCATACAGTCAGTGTAGACTTCAGTTGTTAATGAATATCAATGATCATTATTCTGAGCAAATAATGTTGTAACAATATAGACACATACGTTATTTTCATTATTACCATAAAAAATAAACGTAATCAATTCTAATCACATTATATTCTTTCGCTTTTAATGCTACCAACTGTATTGCTGTACAGTCACATGATAGCTTCAGAAATTTCCAGGATACAATAATCCATTATCCATTAGGCCTTTATTATACCTTGTTAGAGATGATTGCATGCATTTCTCTATTATTAACTTAGACAAAGCCCTGTGATCATGTCAGAGTCAATATAGCAATCATCTCTAGAATGATATAAAAAGAACAAAAACAATTTGGATTGTTTGAGAGCAGAACCTCTTTTGAATCACTTCTTAAAACCCACTTTTATCGAATAGCCTTCTCCTAACTGTCTGTTTTAAAGTCTCCATGTATTTCACTTTTCTACATTGTTTTTGTTTTGTCTTTCTTGTTGTCTGTCTTCTTTAATCTTCTTTTTGATATGTTATTTTATTACGACAGTTATGTTATTATTGCGGGGCGACAGTGGCTCAGTTGGTAGAGCATTGGCATCTAAGCCTGAAGGCCGTGTGTTCAAGCCCACTATGAGACCTACTTCATGACTACCACTGATGACTGCTGTCGTTGTGTCCTTGGGCAAGACACTTAACCTCACTTTGCCTGGATCTCACACTGGAAGATCTCAGCTCCTGTGGACTCACCACCTGCAGGAGGATCAGTGAGGGGCTGGTGCTATGTGAACTGGTTGGTGGCAGCTCTGACTGCCACCCCCCCACCCAGAAATGGATTGAGGGGAAGAAAATGAATGAATGATGAATGAATGTTTTTAGTGCTCTATGCTGACTGTGCAGCGCTTTCTAAACACTTTTTTTTTTTAAGTGCTAAACAAATAAAGATGTATCATTACTTATAAGCCCACAGACAAGCATTAAGGTCATGGACTCACAGGGTCAGTGCACATCGCTCTGAGGTGTGAGGCCAGAGCGAGGAAGGCCAGGGAGTTGAACAGTATCCCGTTCACAATGCTGTATGTCAGACTTCTTGCCGGGAGCAACATCACAAACAGCACCACAAACACTGCGTAAAACACAAGCAGCCAGGTGATGATGGCACACACGATCCCACAGGCATCTTTGATGAACCACATGGCTGGAGCGGAGTACGCTGTGATGACATCTTTGGAGATGGGGATGCGCTGCTCGGGCTGGAGGAAGCCTGTCACATGACCCGTCCCATTGGACTCCACATCCCTGCACCTGCGCACCGGACTCTTCATCCTTCATCTGCCTCCAACAGGCGAGGCTCAGTCACCGCATGCTTGAAACATCAACATCAGATGATTAACAGTAAGCCTTTACAAAAGGAATTCCAAGATATGTTTTGTCAGGGCTCGGATCAAACACATGAACACTTGTCAGGGTCCAGAAGTATTTTATTAGACTATACTTTAATATCAAGGTGTACTTTTTCATTTGTGGTAATTTTTTCATGTGTATATTTTTTCTAAATTATGGAGGTATTTGGACCAAAGGAATACTTTTATTGACATAACTTTGAATATTATTATTACATTGGTTAAAATCTTCTGGACAAAAAATCCAAAGGTTCGGAAGCTGAATGAAAAAAAAATAAATAAATCTAAAAACTAAATGTGATTTGTGTTCAAATAAATAAAATTCAATGATATACAGTGGTTGATTCTTTAAAGAATGTGTAAAACATGCCAAGGCAGCGAGCCCCGTCAAAACTTTTAAGTAGGTACTGTGAGATTTCATAATGCTTTGAAGCAACTTTTGTTAAAGTTAAACTCATCATTCTACCAATGTGCAGAAGCCTGTACTTTTCCATTTGATTTTTTGTTTATCTGAAGTCCAAGCTACAGGCACACTGTGGCAGCTGCTGATTGGAGGACTTCATTCTCCCATGCTATATTATCACTAACAGTTTGTTACATCCTTTGTTCGTGTTGTTCGTGCTGTCTCTACCATTGACAATAAAACATGTCTTCTGTCTGAATGAAAGACGCAATCCCAGACTTTGCCATCTTCTTCAGTACTTAAAAGGGTACTTTCACTCTTTAAGGCGGGCATACAAATGACCTTGCATGGTTGACACCCCTGATTTAAAATAAAGATGCCTTTAATATGCCACAAATGAAGGACATGTATTTGTATAATATGCCAAAAGTATATATTTTTAAAACCCTACGGATTCTTATCCTAATTGTTGTGCTTGATTATGTAGCTAAGTGGTCCACACATTGGATTATGAATTAAAATGTGTTGTTGTTGCAGGTAGTTGTAGTCTACAGGAAAATAAGTGTCAATGTTTTGCACTTTTTTACTCTTGCAGAAATAGTGCTGAAGACTGATTGGCATGTGTCATTGTAGAAAGATAGCTAACACCATCCACTATGGCTAGTCATAACTTAGATATACTTATCACAGTGAGGGCTTTTACATTGTGTATTGATATCACACCCCAATAAATAACACCCCAGAATGAGATGAGTGGAAACCTGCTGGATTAGCTGGTTCACCTAGCAGCTAGCAAAACATCGACACATCCCTGGAGCAGATGACATTAGCTTAGCCACTGATTAGCTCGACTCCTTAATGAACGTTTACGTACCTGTTTTACCAAAAGGACAGGCTTATGTTGGCAATCTGGTCCAACAGAGAGAGTGGAGGTTATCAGGTAGTATTTACGGAACAATTCAACATTCTCCACACATCGCCCCCCGAGCAGTGAGCATCCTTCTGCCGCGTCGCAGTAAGAAACAGCTAGAGAGAGACCTCAGCTGTCCTGAAACCGTGGCCGCCATCTTTTGATTGTAAGAAGAACATTATTCTGTTAGAAATACAACAATAAACCAGAGCCAGAAATATAACTGGAAGGGAGTGACAGAGAAAGCTGTTTAATATACATGTAAATAGATATTGTTGAAATAAATATAAAAAAATGAAAGGTGTCAGATCTGATGAATGTGTAATAACCATAGAGAGTATAATAGCAGGTGGAGACATCTCATTTTAGAACAATTCTAAATGTGAACCAAAGTCAGTTTCAGTAACTTTGGGTCCACAATAAACATGACATCCATAATTAATTTCTCATGTCAATGGATTGAAATTGAGCAAATTTACACAGTATTCTGCTCATAAGCAGAAACCGTGCCGCCTTAAGCCGTGGGCGGCACGGTGGCTGAGTGGATAGCACTCTCGCCTCTCAGCAAGAAGGTCCTAGGTTCGAATCCCAGTTGGACCAGGGCCTTTCTGAGTGGAGTTTGCATGTTCTCCCCGTGTCTGCGTAGGTTTCCTCCGGGTGCTCCGGTTTCCCCTACCACTAAAAATATGTACAATAGGTCTGGCATGTGCCTCCTGTACTGGCACCCCCACTCCCAAAAATCACAATTGTAAACCGCTTTGAGACTCCGATGTGCAGTGAAAAGGCGGTATATAAATAAAGATTACTTACTTACTACTACATAAGATAAGATAAGATATGCTTTATTTATCTCACAAAGGAGAAATTTACATGTCACATTTGGCATGGATAGAAACACTCAAGATTGTGCAAAAAGAGATGAAATGTGCAAACATGTTAAATGCAGGATATATTATGTACAATAACAAAAAGTGGCAATTTAAAAATGGCTATCAGAAACAGTGTCAGTAGTAGTGCAGGTTTTTTCAGTCTTAATACAGTGACTTAAAGTGACTTGTTGTACAGTCTGACTTCTTCTGCTGTGTTTTTATTTTTATTATTATACACTAAAGCTTAAAGCTATTAAGATATTTTTACTACATTTCCTCCTACATTAGAGCACAAACAGCCAGTGAAAACATAGCTGTCCTCTTGTTTTAACCTTAGCACAGCGAGGTTAAGGCTAGAACAACAGCAGATAAAAACATTACAGAAAATCTGGGACACATCTATTCACAAGAGACCGGATGGCTAACAGGAAGGTATAAATGCACTGAGAGTAGGTAAGACTTTCTTTTTAAATTGGCACCATCTATTTTTGACCATTTGAGTGCATGCATAATACCTGAGCTATACACTGGTTCATATAGCCTAATGGAGACTTGGTGAGACTTTGTAAAATAATTGAGAGAAAGCTTTTCTTTTTTTCTTAGATGGCGTTCACAGAATTCACTCATGCCTAGTAGATCCTACATTACAGCGATTTGAGAAACAAGAGCTGGTGACAGTATATAACACAGAAAGGCAGACACAGATGGATGGCTTTTTGCATTTATTAGTTGGTTGATTTATGTTAGCCCTCCTACTATTTTCCTTTTATTTATTTTATTTGTTTATTTTAACCAGTAGAGGGCAGAAGTAATCCCTTTGTCCCTTTGCTACCCTTGTCCTGACTGCGGTCCACTGTATTTGTTCAGTCAGACTTAAACATGTACTATATTAATAATTTTCCAGGTCCCAGTCCTCATTATACAAACCTGGGGGCACAGCACTGCGGTGACCACTGCTCCTGACGGTGGCCCGTACAGCAGGATGCAAACAACAAATTTCCCTAGGGACAATAAGATATACCTTACTATTACATAATACATGTGCACATTTAGATAGATCTGGTGTGGTGTGGCAATGTCTAACACCACTGGACACACTTAAGGCTGTCATGGTCCATAATATGAATGGATAATATGGATTGTAACAAACAAAACATTTTTATTCTTTAATATTATAATAGAATGATTACTGTTTTATTCAACTTCAGTTCTCTAATGTTGATGCATTTTGGGTAATTCCTTTTCCACTACAACGGCACAACTATCCCAATACAAGCTTGCAATTCATGACAGAGGTATTCAAAACATACACACAACTATTGCGATGCACACAGAGATGCATGGACCGAGCATCAATAGGGCCGACAAATCCCATTGATCACCTTGACAATAAAGGAAGACAGGAAACACGTTTATTGGAGAACAGTAAAGATTTCCAATACATGTGCTTGTACTTGAAATTTAGTATTTTTTATATTCAGGTCAATGCCACCAGTGAATTTTGTGTTCACCCCAAAGTTTTTGACATGTAGAGTGAACTATAATGAAGAAGGCTGGGTGTTGTGGAGAATTGATTTTGTGGAGGAACTGCGGATGTGGAAATCAACATGTTTTGTTGGTCTGTGTGTGTGTCTATTGGTAGGGTGTAATATATTATGTTTGAGTTGGTGAATTCAACTATGCAGAGGGGTATTTTCACTACACTTTGATTGAAGGGCCATTTATTGGTTATATCAAATGATTGTGTTGGTGTCATGGCTTCTTGTTATATGTTTGTTATTATGGGGTTGATAGTTTGCAAATGAACACTAACTGCGTACAAATGGACCAGTGTGAAGGCCACATTTGTCCACCATCCATCTGCATGTTTTGTCCTTTCAGATGACCATGAATGACACCGCTCTAAACCAGACGGATTGTCCTGAAGTCAAAGTCCCAGTGCCCCTGTTCTTCATTATTGGAGTGGTGAGCTTAGCGGAAAACCTCCTGGTGGTGATAGCAGTGATCAGCAATAGGAACCTGCACTCCCCCATGTACTGCTTCATCTGCAGCCTGGCCGCCTTCAACACTATCGCCAGTGTGACCAAGAGTTGGGAGAATTTGATGATCCTGTTGGCAGATGTGGGACAGCTCCAGAGGACGGGTGTGTCTGAGACCAGCCTAGATGACCTCATGGACTCTCTGCTCTGCATGTCCTTCATGGGCTCCATCTTCAGCTTTCTCGCCATTGCAGTGGATCGGTATATGTAAAATACATATAAGCACACAATAATTGTTATCTCTTAAACATTCAAAATTTTGTTTCATTTGTCAATTCTAATATTTGACAAAACATGAAAACCACTAGACTTAAACTTTTTCTGAATCTGGAGCTGAAATCCCAGTGGGAGGTGTCCAGGAGACAGAATAGGTCTAATGTGTGTGAATGTCTGATGGTAGTCAGAGGGGCCGATGGCACATACTGGTTGCCTCGCTTTTGACAGTGTGCCCCAGGGCAGCTGTGGCTACAATAATAGTTCATCACCACCATGTATGGAGTGGAATGAACAATGACATGTGAAGCGTCTTTGAGTGTCCTGAAAATTATCATTATTATTATTATTATTATTATTATTATTATTATTGTAATCCGAAACCTCTCCAACCCATAATTAATTTGATAATTGATTGTAATTACCACATATGTACAGGAATATCATGCAGAAACCCAAAAATGTTGAATTCTTTAAACAAATTGATACTACTTTTTTTCACTAAAAATTGTTGGGACTCCTCATATAGTTGTGTGTTGTGGAAAAGGAGAGCCTATTTTTTTGTTTACTGTACGTGCTCATATGAACCAACTTATTGTTGTTTCTTCTTGCAGCTATATCACAATTTTCCATGCTCTCCGTTACCACAACATCATCACCATGCGGCGTACGGCGGCCATCTTGGTTCTGATTTGGACAGTGTGCGGCTTGTCTGCACTGATGATGATTCGTTTCTTCGAGTCCTTCTTTATCATGACTTTTTTTGTGGTTTTCTTTGTGGTTTCCCTCTGCATCATCTGTTTCCTCTATGTCTATATGTTCATGCTCGCTCGAGTCCATGCCCAAAAGATCGCATCCCTCCCGAGTGGTGGACCACGGTCTCGCAGACAAAGACGGTGGGGTAATAACATGAGAGGGGTCCTTACTTTGACCATCCTCTTTGGAACATTTTTGATCTGCTGGGCTCCATTTTTCCTCCATTTGATCCTAATGATGATATGTCCTTTCAATCCATACTGTGAATGTTATAGGTCGCTGTTCCTGCTGCACGTTGTGTTAATGATGTCACATGCACTTATAGACCCGGCCATCTATGCTTTTCGCTGTGCTGAGCTCAGGCGAACCTTCAGAAAGATGCTTCTCTGCTCTCACTGTAACTGTGGTAATTGATTAAAATGAATCACACAATTATTCAGCTCGGCAGGCGATACGCAGTTGCATACATAAAAGGGAAGTCAGGAGCAGTTTTCGACTTGGTTTCATGGACAATTGTGGAACACACACACACACACACACAGACTTTCTGGATACCTCCATGCCACTAGCAATTTTCAATCTAGCTGTTAAATATAATGTCAAATGAATTTTACATAAAAATATTGTATATATGAAATTAAGAATTCTAATTATATATTATTTGTGCATATTTCTTTGATAGTTTACCTTCTGTGCAATTTTGTGTATATTTGTTTGCTAGTTCATCACCCTGTTCAGATAAACCCCTGCGGCTGTATTTACCTTGAATCGTGCAAAATAAAGAAAGAAAAAGAAAAGACATACAAGATAAAGTTACTCTGGCTTTAGCTATCAAGTTTAAAAATCTAGAGTCAACCAAAAACCCGAAGCATAGTTTAAAAATAGCTTGCTATAGGTTTCGAAATTAAAGTCAAACACTGCGTTTCAATGTAAAACAAAAGAATCCAAACCCAATTTCAGTCCAATCTCTTATGAATTCATAGCGTTAGATCTCTAGCTTGGAAGAAATCATAAAGAAGAGCTGTTTGTTTTTTTTTGTTTTTTTGCAAGCTCATATCTACTATACATCTGGAAAAAAAAAAGCCGCCTCAATAAAAGATCAGCACACACCAGTAGGAGCCAACTGCTTTTCATTCATGGAGTGGAGTCACAGAAAGCCAGTTTTCAGGGCAGCCAGATATTTTGATTCTGGCGCTATCTGTCAATGCTCATTCTCAGAAAATATGAAATGGGTCCAACTTCTCTACTTTGCATCCCTTCGCATTCAGAAAAGAAGATTTCCCCGAGACAAGATTAAGCCATTCATTCTGGTTCTTGGAGATAGTGAATCAAAGAAAGACTGGCAAAGAGAAAAACCAACACAAAAGAAAATGTGTGAAGAATTTAACAATATATTGATGTCATTGACGACTTGGACTAAGGGGTTCTGTCAACACAATCATTTAGACACACCGAAGCTACAGTTGTACGAAGTAAAAATAGGCCCTTTCATCAGCATAGCCTCAATTCATCTGACCTCGTGTCATAATGAACCACCTTGGACCTCAGGATCAGACAAAACATGGAGAGTACTGTTTCAAATACTGCAGAAATAGCTCCACTACATGCAGAATGAACAGATTTAAGAACTCTTTTATCCCTCTTGCCATTGGTATTTTAAACAAATCACTGTAATTCTGCTGTATATCTTTGTTTCCTTGTGTGTATGTGTACTTTTCTCCTGCTGCAACCAAATTGGCCCAACGGGATAATAAAGATACCTTGAACCTTGAACCAATTATAGCCCACTGTTCTGTCTGTAAATGTGAGACACAAGTTTTACTGCTATATTCTGGTTGACGTTCTAATTAAATTCAACATAATTTTGTATAGAGCTAAATTACAACAGCAGATGTCATGGAGGACTTTACAAAATTGTCAATTCCTCAAAAACACTGCATAAAACACAAAAATGCAATTATAAGAAACACATGGGAGACATTGATCCAAATAGAAGGGCTGATGACCCATGTTCATGAATGTTGATAAAAGTACTTCCCCTTCACTTGACTGTGAAGTGATATATTATTCTGATCTGTGATGTTTGTAAGGCATATTTGAATTGAAAATAAGCTTGCTTTGCTTTTGCTTATGAACAGAATTATTCTGGCAGGTTCCAAAAGACCCACTGCCACCACCACCGGGAGGGCAGCTTTCATTCACAGTTAGGAAGAAGAAACAACGGGTAAAGGTCATTTTAATATGTGCCCCATAACCTTTTTTTCTATGGAAGGATAAGTACAAAGAGGGTGTTTACGCCCCAAAGAGAGGAAAGCATTCACTATTCACACACAAACACAAGACCTCCGTGCACAGCGTGACTTTCATTGAATGAACATGGAGTGCTGATGTCTGTGTGTGTCTTCATTACTGGGTGTTTAGGGAAATGTGTGCCGCCTTTCTCTCTGTCAAGAAGCCATTTTAAAGTCAGCCGTCCTCTGAATATTATATTCATTGCACATTGGACTGACAGTAGAGTATTGCTTCTTGTTGGTGTGTGACTGAATTTAACCATGGAGCAAATTATGCCATGTTTGGTTCGGAGTTGTACAAAACTTGCAAGGTTGTGACATTGGTGGCATGTGATGCGAGAGAAAATGTGAATTCCAAATAAAAATGTCCAATAAAAACAAATTTTTCACTTACATTTATTCGTGAAGGGAGCAGCAACAGAGGCCAACAGACTTACATTCACATGCCAACATGAAAGCTAAGGTGTAAAAAAGACTTTTGTGGATGAATGTATTCTTTTGACACAAGTGTAAGTTGGCAAAAATCTTAATATACACAGACAGATACTATAATGCACTTCATATTAAAATACTTTGTCATGATAGCATAAAATAAACATGTTTTGTAACTTTACAATAGCATAAAACAATTGGAAGCTACAACAAAGCATTAAAATTACATTATCACTCAGTGATAGAAAATACATTCTTTACTTTTTAATTACATTAATATACAATAAACTATAATGAGTCAAAGCTTGAATAGGCATTTTACCATCAGATTAGTCCAATATTCTTTCTCTGCCTTTAAATACAGTGGAAACCGGAAGTACAGTATACAGACACTGTGTTCGAGACAGGATCTATCTTTTTTCACTGTCTGAAACTAAACTTTAAAAAGTAACACAATAACTCTCTCACTATGATGACACTTGAGCCAATAGGATAAACATACTTTGTAAAAAATAGTATAATAAATCATATGTATTTACATATGTAAACTCTGGACTCTACTGAGGGTAGGTTAAAGGCATTCATAATTTATTTATCAATATATTAATCACTTGAAATTGAATTATACTGTATTTACACAGAATCAGGAAAACACACATTCTGATTGACATTGAGGTCAGTGATAACAGTGATCATTTCTCAGATACAGTAACATAATGTGACATTCCTCTGCCTCCTTCCTAGAGCAACACATGTAATGTTTAGGTAAAAACATTTGTGTTTTCAGTCTTCAGTCTCAATTCTCAATGAAGTGTATCTCCTGAGACAGTGAGAAACCATAGGATCACAGAGAGGTCATGTGCCCGCTCACATACCTCTGCTCTCCTCCACTTATTATTAACAATATTGGTTTCTTATAGAATTTCTAGCCTGCATGTCAAAAGTTTCTAAGATAATAAACGTCATAAAACTTAGCATTAGAGGGCTTGATTGTCCGCTGTGTCAGCCGTTATAGTTTTTGTACAAAATCTACAAAAAAACATAAGATTAACAGACCTAGAAAAACTAATTTCTTTATAGCCGGCCTACAATAGTTTTAACATTGTGTATGTACAAGTAATGCACAAAGGTCTGTTCAGGGCCATGTCAATAAACACAGTCTAAGTAAAGTTGGCAGGCTCACAGGTGAGAGGTAGGATACTGTGTCAGTGCACACAACCACATAATACATCAGACATCTACAAACTAAAGCAGTTACATTTTTAACACAATCATTTTGTGCGTTTCAGTAAAAATGAGCAGATATTGCATGTTTATAATCAATAACTTTCTAATTGTTTTTACTCATATATAATATTTTTATCTTATATTGGTTGAGTCTGTTTCGGTCAAGGACACTGTACTCAACATTAGTCCATCCTCACTCCTTTTTCATGAGTGTTGTGACAGGCCAGCCACAGTGATTTTTTTTATTTCATTCAAAGATTCTCCTCTGTATCAAATACATGGAAGGATCGTCGACTGGTGCAGGCAACAATCATTCAGCCGTTTCCCTAACCATAATCTGACAAGGCCAGAAAAAGGATCTTGAGTGTGATGGGAAAGATCCAGCAGCTATTCCTCACCACTAACAGATGCTTGTACATTTGACCACTACATGGAGGCAAACACATTTTTGAAAATAGTTTCAACTCCTTTGAATGATTTACCATTATTATTTTGTGTCTGTAAAAGTTGTAGACTAAATCATATTTTGCATTTTTACATTTCTATGGCTGTTGTTGTCTTTCCTTACCTTTAATGAATGCATACTATAGATGAAGCTACATGCACATGGGCGTGGATGCCACCACTGTGATTCTGATTAAACACACAGTGTTTTGTATAGCCTTATACATATTATATGCATCTGCATCACATGCCTGGCTTATATATTACAGAGGTCAGTATTTACAAAGCATTCGTTTGCGCATCGAGAAGTGGCACTAAAGCTCCCCCCAGGCTTGTTGTTGTGGAAGCTGTGATGACGTGAAGGAATATGACAATGTGCATGAGATTGTTCAGTGATTCAAAAAGCATTGGAGGAGTGTTAATTGCTGACCATTAACACAGACCATTCCTTAAACTGAAAACACTTTTGTTTGTAGATTGTGTTTGAACAAGCTGGCTCCGATTGTGATCACTGCACCATCTTTGTAAATATGAACAGGAGCCAAGTGAACAGCTGCCAACTCATTCCCATTTACATCTGTGACTGGTTCAGGGTGACAATTTCAATGTCAGCAAAGTTACACATAATTCATGCTGTAACTGCTCTGTTTGGATGTTACACATTAAACATGTGTCAGAATAGAATACCATAAATATTGCAGGTGACTGGTGTTCTCTTTGAGCCTTAAGAGAAAACCGGTCTAGACTATAAGCCGCTATTTTTTTCGAGTTCTTCTAACACTGCAGCCTCTACAGTGATGTTGCTAATGTATGCATTTTTACTGTGTTAGAGCCCCCCTAGGGTGCAGGTAGTTGCTGATATAGCTATGTTATAGATATAGATATACAGTGTATTGATTCAGTGTACGTTCCTGATTCAGTGTGTTTATGTGAACAGCCGAGAGCCACATAAGTGCAGGGAAAATGACAGGAGTTGCTTTGATGTGATTAGGACTACGGTCAGAGCAGTGTTTATGAACCTTTTTGACTCCATCAAGCTTTGCTTAGTAGGAATGTTAGAGTCAAAATTGATTGGATTTCCTGGAGTGCATGGAAGATCACAGGTGAAGACCTGTGATGCTTTGCTTTGCTCCATCAGCTGTTAGTTACAGTAAGTGTTACATTAAACATGAAAACCTGTGGCTTTGGTTGTGAAATTAGCTGGTTTGATTTATATGCAAGTGGCACTAATAGTTCAAACGAGTACTGTATTAGGTTACACAATGACACAAAACCAAATGCAACTGACAATACATCCAAAACTACAGCGAGAGAGTAGTAGGTTAGGCTGTCTGTATATTATGCAGTAAAATGGTAGTGTTTGTAGTCAATATATCTTTGCATTAAAAGTCTGTTTTTTTCTTCTTCAATTGCCATGTTTTTAATCTTCCTTGGCCAGTTTTAGACAGTCGCACAATGACTGTGGAGGCCTTGTGGACATCCATTTGTCGTTCCATCTTCTCACTAACGCTTAGTACTTACCCGTCAACGGACAAAGGTTACTGCACACATTTCTCAGACTATAACAACATATGATTTCCTTAAAAGTCTTCCTCATCTCCTGGCTCCGGAAGGCGTAGATTAGCGGATCGATCACCGAGTTGCACATGATGAGAATGAGGTACATGTTGAAATGTGACATGAAGCAAACACAGTAGAGGTTCCGCGGACATGAAATCATCAGAATCAAATGGAGGAAGAATGGGGCCCAGCACACGATGAAAATACCCAGGAGTATGGTCAGGGTTATGGCTCCTTTCATGCTGGCGCGCTGGTGGATGGAGTTGTAACCTGGTAAAGCGGCGATGCGCTTGACATGCGAGCGCGCAAGCATGAACATGTGACTGTAGAGGGAAGCCATGATGAGGAGCATGGCGAAGAACATGGACACCAGGCAGATGATGACCGGGGTGGAGTCCGAGTAGATGATGAACACGATGCCGCAGCCGGTGCAGAACGTCCAGATTCCACCGATGATGCAGCCAGCGCGCCGCACGGTCATGATGTTGTGGTAGCGGAGAGCGTAGAAGATGGTGATGTACCTTCAAAGCACAGACAAGATTAATGCCCCAAGTATTTCAATTTCACAGTAGTCTTTTCTTAGTTTGTTCTTAAAGAACAACAAACCAATAGAAATATGTATATGATGAGATATAAAAGCAACTGTATAAGGCAGGCATTAAAAATCTTCATAAAATCTCTGCTACGTACATATACAAACAAGACAAAACCTATAACCTTTTCTTTGTGCAAATCTTTGTGACAGTGTGAAAAAATGGACACCTAGGAAGCTGTATAAAGCATATAAAGGTCCCAACATTGCAAAACAAACAGTATTATAATAGTGATAAGAACAAATAAGAAATAACATGGGAGAAAAAAACATTTTATACATTTGCTTCGATCAGCATTAGGGCTCTGTGCAGTTGTGGATACTGAATGTCTATGTACATATAATAATAATAATGACAATAATGCATCGGTTTTATTGTATGTCACATTCTCTAAGTTCCCAAGACTTATCAACGTTTTCATCACTGTACATATTATCGGATGCAGGGGAGCTCCTGCGGGCAGCCCCTACCGCAGGGGAATGTGAAAAACTCATTTGTGCATGCTTTAGCCAGCACGAGCTCCATTCATTTAACAAATGCATTCATAAGTCCATTCCATTCCATTCCATCTTCTTCCGCTTCATCCGTTGCCGGGTCGCGGGGGCAGCAGTCTAAGCAGAGACGCTCAGACTTCCCTATCCACACACACTTCCTCCAGCTCGTCCGGGGGGACCCCAAGGCGTTCCCAGGCCAGTTGAGAGACATAGTCCCTCCAGTCCTGGGTCTTCCCTGGGGCCTCCTCCCGGTGGGACGTGCCCGGAACACCTCCCCAGGGAGGCGTCCAGGAGGCATCCGGAACAGATGCTCGAGCCACCTCAACTGGTTCCTCTCGACGTGGAGAAGCAGCGGCTCTACTCCGAGCTCCTCACGTGTGACTGAGCTCCTCACCCTATCTCTAAGGGAGCGCCCAGACACTCTGCGGAGGAAGCTCATTTCGACCGCTTGTATCCGCGATCTCGTTCTTTCGGTCATTACCCAAAGCTCATGACCATAGGTGAGGGAGGGAACAAAGATTGTTCTTCACCACAACGCATCGCTGCACCGATCCGCCTGTCAATCTCACGCTCCATCGGTCCCTCACTCGTGAACAAGACCCAGAGATACTTGAACTCCTCCACTTGAGAAAGGACCTCTCCACCCACCTGCAGAGGGCAAGGCACCTTTTTCCAGTCAAGCCCCATGGCCTCAGATTTGGAGGTGCTGATTTCCATCCCAGCCGCTTCACACTCGGCTGCACACCGTCCCAGAGCATGTTGTAGGTCCTGGTTCGTTGGAGCCAACAGGACAACATCATCCGCAAACAGCAGAGATTAAATCCTGTGGTCTCCTAACCAGACCCCCTCCGGCCCCTGGCTGCGCCTAGAAATTCTGTCCATAAACACAGTGAACAGAACCGGTGACAAAGGCAGCCCTGGCGGAGGCCAACATGCACCGGGAACAGGTCTGACTCACTGTTGATGCAAACACAGCTCTTGCTCCGGTCATACAGGGACCGGACGGCCCTCAGCAGAGGACCCCAGACCCCGTACTCCCGGAGAACCCCCCAAAGGACGTCCCGGGGAACACGGTCGAACGCCTTCTCCAAATCCACAGAGCACATGTGGACAGGTTGGGCGAACTCCCATGAACTCTCGAGTATCCGATGGAGATTATAGAGTATTTCATTTCATTTCATTTTTTATTTATTTCAATTGTTCTGAATATTCTTTCATTTTTACATGTTTACATAAAATAATACTAGTAGCGTATAGCATTCAAAAGTCCACAGCGGCTAAACTAATCGCCGCTAATAAAAAAAAAATACCACTGGTTTTCCTATATTAAACTACAATTTTTAGCAACTTAAGCTGGTGTATTATAGAATTAAAGTATTCTCGCACAATCTCACTACATCACAATCATTTTGGCTCAATTTTTTTTATTTGCCACCGATTGTTTTTCAGCAAGATCTTTTCAGCATGGAGCATTTTATGTGGACGAGGGCCGAAGGGGGCATGGATTTCTGATGTTTGAATGATGGAAGCTAATAAATTACCAGGTATATTTTGATGGGGGTTAAAAGCACAAAGGAGTCAGGTTTGTAAGTGTTCCATGTAATAGATTTGAGGAGGAGGATGAAGAGAGAATTTCAATCTGTTTAGAAGTTGTATTTCCGTCCTGGCGCCAGTGCAAAGGTTATGGTGGAGATTTTCAGGATGTTTTTCTTCAAAAAGAGAGGGTGAAATGGAGTCAGTCTGTAACTGAATCAAACATGATGAAGGGGAGAGAGTGCAGTGCAGGAAAGACGGAAGACGTTTGGAAATACAACTTGGCAGCCTGAATATACATGTTTTCAAAATCAGGTTCAATCATAACTCCACTAATGCTTTTTTCTCTGGCGGCAGAAGAGCAAAAAGATAAAGGGAAAATCTCAAATAGGCAATTAGTGTAAAAGCTTTTTCTTAGGATTTCTAATGAATGCTCCGGCTATAAGCTCAAAATATATAAATGATTGATAGTGAAATGATAAATGAATGTAACATACAGGCTAATAAGAATACTGTGAAGTATCTTTGAAGGCCTGCATGTAAGTATATAGCATAAGACACTGATCCAAAGAGTCTATCCATGCTAATAATTGTAAATATAGTCCTGCTGGAAAATTTGACTTAAAAAGAATGTGAGGTAAAGGTTAGCCCTATGAATCCACACAGCAGTCTTACGTTGTGATTGTCCATCCATCCATCAATTTTCTTCCGCTTCATCCGTTGCCGGGTCGCGGGGGCAGCAGTCTAAGCAGAGATGCCCAGACTTCCCTATCCACACACACTTCCTCCAGCTCGTCCGGGGGGACCCCAAGGCGTTCCCAGGCCAGCTGAGAGACATAGTCCCTCCAGCGTGTCCTGGGTCTTCCCCGGGGCCTCCTCCCGGTGGGCTATATAGAACCCCTTTTCAAACTGCCTTTTTCTATTCATTACTTGTATCCTGTTTATTGTTTTGTGCTTTGAGGAGCTCTAACATGAAATTTAAAATCCTTTATTATTGTAGGAGCGCGGCAAAAAGTATCTTGTACAGTATTTACCTGTCCACTGCGATGGCTAGCAGGCTGCACATAGAGGCCACCACAGAGATGCAGATCATGGAGTCGAAGACGTTATCCATCTGTCGGATGAAGTGGTCCTCCACCACCAGCTGCCCGTTGTTCAGCATGTAAATGATGATGCTCTCCCAGGCGTTGGAGACACTCACCAGCATGTCTGCCACGGCCAGACTAAGAGAACAGTCATAATTACAGACATCTATTGGTTTCATTTTTATCTATTGTTCTAAAGGTTAAGTCATTCAAAAATAGCAAAAGATGCAACTAATGAATCTGTAATTTTATCCTGAATACTGCTTACACAATTGTAATGCAAGCACAGTCTTAGAACACATTTGCCACAGTTCTTCAGACAGTCTCTCTTTCAAATACACTTACACACTAAACAGTAGTCATGCTATGTGTGTGTGTATATTGTAGATGTATATATTACAAAATAGAATATTCAAAAGAGATTATGGATTATATTTTCATGACAAGGCAGACAACAGCATGTCATATTTTGTGTCTAAAATCTAACAACCAGTTCAAATTAGAATGTGAGAAAATATAAGTTATGTCAATTTGACTGAGTATTTAAGAGGGAATATTTCAATTGCGTTAGCTTCAAGATTTGAGTTAATTAAGCAGCAGACTGTTGTAGTGATAAAAGCAGTGAGAGAGAAACACTTAAACACAGACAGAGCCATTTCTGAAACATTAGTGAAGGTCGTCAACAAATGTCTGTGATTATCCAGCTGTAATTTTCTTTCCGCTGTGTGATCTTTAAATATTGATTTTTATTTCCAACGAAACGCTCATTGTTGAGTGGCTGCTGGAAAAGCGACAAGAAAGACACATTGTTTGTGCAGGAACAGGTCCAATCAGAATCAACAGTCCTTTGGGTTCTGTGATTTGTTTTATTTCAAACCTGCAGAACACAATTTCACATTTCTTGATACTTATACAGGTTTGATAAAGGACAGGGACCAGGACCAGGACACTCACAAGGGAGCAGTCACATCACATACGTTGCTAAGCGGCAGTAAAATTATGGAACAAATAAATTGGTACAGAATTGGTACATGGAGCATAAAAGCACTTACCTTGAATGGTGACAATTGAGAGAGAAATGCACTTCTCAAAAGACCATTTTCCCAGGTAGTGGGTATTATGTGAGAGGGGCTGGTATATACATGTATATATATATTCACAAAAAACTATTGTTACTTCCATATGCAGAATAAAAAAGAAGTTGTTTGGGTACATTCAAAGGTGGAGTGTGATAAAGCAGCGGGAAACTGTTATTTATGTGAATCACATAAAGACTGGACCAGGTCTTAAGGAATACATTGATGGTCTGCAAGGACCACATGGAGAGAGTGGCCTAGATCTCAACAAGGACATTTAGAATATGATCATCCTCCTGACACTGGGAAAATAATTTCATATTTAATTTTCTGTCATTTTCTCTAGATTTGTCATTATAATCATTATGATGCTCACACACATTTCCCCACACAGTCTCAGCCACAGAGACGAAGAATACAGCCCATGAGAATTCACTGCAGATTCTACTGTTTAGAAATGAAATATTATACCCTATTAGCTGATGCTGGCACTGGTTACATGTCCATGCTAATGAACATGGGAATCATTATAGTCCCTTTGCTTTATGCCAGTAACCCCAGAGTCAAAAAGCACTTTACAATTGTGTAATATATTTAAGATATAATAATCTTCCCCGTTGTCATAACTTCGACCAGCAAGATTTAATGGAAGAAAACCGAGGATAAGGGGCTTCAAGTATTTGAATTAATTAAATTGAAGGGGGTGGGCACGGGTGGGAATCATGGATAGGGAGCGGAGAGTGATTTCCCAAAAGTCCCAGATCAAAAATGACTTGCTAGAAGCCATGGTCACCAAAGAATTAGCCCAGATACAGCCTTTTTGCAGGAAGTTTGCTAATATACGATACCAGATACATGCAAACAGTTATGGTCGAAACGAGTAGAGGAGGCCTGGTGGAAACGAGGCTAAAGAGAGCATCACTGCAGCAGACTGAGAAGATATGTCTTTTTCCCAGGATAGAACTACTCCTGACTGTGTTATTGCATTGTATTATTGCATTGAGGCAGCCTGTGTCCAAGACAAATTAATCATATATTTCATGTTTCTGTTTATACTGTTTACTCTTTACAGAAATTCTACACATTCTCTCAGAAATAATTAAATATAAAGGCAAAACCAAATCACTACTCATATAGTATTATTAGGGGTGTGACGATATATTGCGATACTTTCTCCCGCGATTCGATTATCGATATGCATTTGCCAAGTATCGATTTTTTTTACAATAAAAAAAAATCAAAATTGGTATCAATACTTAACATATTGCTATACGCATCTCCATTCCATTTATCATGAAATAAAGTGTATTTTTTCTTTTATTTATGCCATAAATTGGCATATTGTATATTTCTGACCAATATATCGATAATCGTCATATCGTAATAAAATCGTTATCGTGATAATATCGTTATCGTGATAATATCGTTATCGTGATAATATCGTTATCGTGATAATATCGTTATCGTGATAATATCGTTATCGTGATAATATTGTTATCGTGATAATATCGTTATCGTGAGCTTTGTATCGTGTATCGTGAGGTATCCTTAGGTTCCCACCCCTAAGTATTATATAAGTTCTGCATGCTCCAGTTGTATCTACATTGTAGTAGTCCTTGATTCAAACCGACGTCCTCTGAGCCACACAGTCTGTTTGAAAATAAGCTGTCCACTTACATCTAGCAAAAGCATTTAAAGTTCCATTTAATGGACATCTGGAGGGCCATTTGAGACCACTGAAAGCAAGACAGCTGATCGGCAAATGAACTTGCAGTCCAGGCTCCATTAGCGGCTCATTCACAGTTACGTTTTAACATCAAAGTTACTTTAATGTTGCACTAAGCTAATGTTGGTTAAAGGGAAGTTGTTAAAAGTCCAATGTGTTTTCTGGTGCTTTAGACACGCTTCACAGCAACCAATTTTGTTGGCAGTACGTACGTGAGTAAGCAGGTAATCTGCACAAAGACGCTTTAAAGTTAGGCTGCATTTAACACCAGCATTCAAATCCTGTTTCACCTTATTAACTTAATATTACCCAGAGTGTGAATAAATAGAAATGAAAAATCAAAGATGGTTTAAAAATGAATAAACGGAGCAATAACAGTTATATATAATTATGGTTACACTGAAAGATGCTTCCATAAATGTAGCTTACTGTCATTTAAAATAACCTATAAGTTAGAATTCAGATTTAAATGTAGGTAGTGACAGTAATATTATGTGTAGTGTAAAAATGATAACTAAACAACCTTATTATGTTGTGATTTTACAGGAAAACCTTGGATCTACAGCTGCCAATCTTCAGTGTTTTTCTGAAAGTATTTTCTTTCTGGACAGAACAGCATGGACAGGAATGTACAGTACAGCAAGAGTAAGAGTAAGTTGTCTTGCACTTTTCTCTGTGATGACCGAAGCGAAGCAGTCTGTGCCATGACCCCTTCAACCCATTCACTCACTCACTCACAGCTATATTTACTGGATTGAAAAGAATTGGTGCTGAATTCTTACCTGCAAACAAAGAAATACATGGGTGAATGCAGGTTTTTATTCTTGACGATCGCTATGATGACTAGAATGTTTTCCATAAGAGAGATGATTCCCAAGATCAGAAAAACCTACAAAACAGAATGAAATTAGAAGCTAATAATATAAAATATGTCCGTGATCTGAGTTGGTTCAAATTATGTGCTCAACTAATCTGTGACATGTTGAATAAATAAATAACATTCTGACATCAGAGACACCGGGGTAGGTATTAAATTAGACAACAACAACAACAACAACTTATTCTTGTATAGCCCTAAATCACAACAGAAGTCATCTCCGAGGAATTAACAAAACCATTGAAATCATCAACACAGATCAGAGAATCAACAGTTAAGACACAAAATATAAACATATGAATTGGTCCATAGGGAGAGACCATTGTCCATGAATGTTGATAAATGTCACATGTTGTAGAATGTTAAAGTGTCCTGGATCATCATCACAGTTCTTCTAGTTGGACACTAACTGCCCAACAGACCCTCCTGCATCGGCAAGGAAAAACTCACAAAAACCCAGTGGGAAAACCTCGGGGAGTCAGATTTTGTGATGAATTCAATAGTGCATCACCAATTAAAGACATACAAAATCTTTTTAAAACAGATTTTGCATTCATCATGCACATAAATTATCATATTTTGCATGTATTTATTAGTAAATCAGAAAGGGACAAGTCTACACAATTTACATATGAAACACAAAACAAAACAACATTTATAGCAAAGGCAAATTTGCAACATCCATCCCTTGTAGCACAATAAAAAAAAAAACATTACATTAATGCATGGTAATTAATGCATACAAGGTGTGTTCCTCAGATGATCACACAATGGATTGTTTAACCTGTGCACAACACTGCAGTGTTAAAGGTTAAAGGTTAAGACAAGCCAGTTGGACATTTTGTAAAAGTTGAGCATATCCAAATGTCTTTGCATATTTAAAAATACATCTTGCACATCAGATGCTTGTCATATGCCAGAGCCTTTTAGTATCTACACTAGAATGATGTATGTCATTCCTATTTCACTCTGCATTCCTAAAAACTATTTTTACAAAACACTCAATTTATAAAACCCTTGCAAAGCCATACTTCATTGTAAGCTCACAATATTCAAACCATATGGTACTTTTTGTTGTTGGCAGCAGCTTTAGACTTCTAGGTGTTCTAGTTTTGATGCAGATGACCTTTTTCATGAAGTAGTGTTTTTGGAACGTGTTTTGCACACTTTTTGCTAACATGGGCCAAACTGTTTTATTTCAATTTTAGGGTCATTCATCACCATAAAAAGCAAACGTTTATGGTACCTACCTTCCGGTATGATTTTGTTACAGTTTATATTGTGTAGTTAAAATAGAAAACTATGGTAGGTACAATATTTAAATATGTGTAATTACCATAGACTGTAAATGTGAGGATCTTAATTTACCTCTGCATGCATCACTGGCTCGGTGGCAAGACAGAGCGGCACACCGTGGATGTGACGAGTACTTTTAAAAGACTTGTGGGCGAAATGCACTATATATATGCACTTCAACGCAAGAAGCTCGGAGGAGATATAAAGATAAGCTAAAAATAAGTACATGAGGCTGAACTGGACAAAATCAAAGCCCAAATGAGACCGATGACGACAAACATAAAGGTAAGGTAAAGGTAAAGGTGCACTTTATTTATACCCGTAGGGCAATTCATCCTCTGAATTTGACCCATTCTGATGCCACGAAGGCTTACGTCAGGAGCAGTGGTCGCCGTAGTAACAGCGCCCGGAAACCCATCTCCAGATGTTGATGCTCGGCTTGGTCAGGACTACTGGAGATTGAGGATTTAACCTAGTGTTTTCTGGAACCCTTCACACAAGAAAAGTTAAAAGCTGGAGGCCTTTTTCTAGAAAGGTTGGGGCTTTCTTCAGTGAAACAGAAGTTCGTACAAAAAGATGAGTGAGGTCAGACCAGGTCAAATCAGGATTCACATCTGCCGTGGGTGATTATGAAGGAGAATAGAGTAGATAAATCGGCACTCAGTGTGACAGTAAAACCGCTTTTCTTTCTGTTGATCTTTATGTTGATCCTGGAATCCAGGCTTTAGTCTGAGTATTCATTCTCCTGATCGCTCTAAACCATTTATTGCATTTTTTTATGTTCTTTTCCCAGATAAAGTTTCCAAAAAACTTTATCTGGGCCCAGCGGGTTGTACAACCGACCACACAACAAGAGTGGATCATTTGATTTAGTAACCTCTTTCCAAATCTAGTCTAAAGTCTAAAACTTTCTAACATCCAGGTTTTTCGTGACTGGCGCAGAAAAACTATAAACAAAGAGATCACTCAAAGATCCTCCTATATTAACGGACGTAGCGACACCTAATTCCTCCCTTGAAATTGCTGTGCCAGAGACATGGGCAGATTCAAAATGGCAGCCCCTCCTGTAGGGAAATGTGAGAAAAACGCATTTGCGCATGCGTTTGCCAGGAGTGCATTCAAATGTCAACAACGGTTAAACTAAAAAACGTGGTCAGCATTGACACACATTTGGAACATGGCATTGAGCCAAGATCCGACTTTTGGACCATCCTTTAAAGCTGTTTTCGAGAGGAAAGACAGTATTTTTCCAGGTACATCACCACCGGCAGGTAGTGAGATTGCAATCCCGTGGCTTTTTGACTTATATATATATATTTGTTTATTTGAGCAATACACATTGTGCTCAAAAGGAGTGGGCTGAAGCAAAAAGCTTATGAGCCCCCACCCCCAAGTGCAATACATAAAAAAAGAACATTTCAAAACATTTCAAGCAGCTACATTCGTACAGACCAAATTACAACAAACAACAAAAATATATTTCAGAATCAGAATCAGAATCAGAATCATTTTTATTGCCAACGTAAGTAACGGGAGGTCACAGACTTGGAAATTGCTTTGGCTCAGTGCAACAGTCAAAAAGAGATAATAAAAATAAGAATAAAAAACACTTCTAAAGAATAAATTTAAATTTAAAATAGAGTTACAGTTACTATTTACAATATACAAGTGCACATGGTGCACACAATGTAAGGTGACAGCAGTACAGTGAAGTAAAGTGACGTATGATGGGCAGTAAAGTGACTTTATAAAGGGCGGGGGGACAGGTTAAGAAGTGTTCAAGAGTCCAACAGCAGAGGGGAAGAAACTGTTCTTGTGGCGGGAGGTTCTAGTCCTGATGGACCGCAGCCTCCTGCCTGAGGGGAGTGGTTGGAATAGTCCATGTGCAGGGTGAGAGGGGTCGGCTGTGATACGACCAGCCCGGCCTCGAGCTCGGGCGACGTACAGGTCCTGCAGCGATGGAAGGCTGCGGCCGATCACTTCCTCTGCAGAGCGCACAATGCGCTGTAGTCTCTGTTTGTCCCTGACTGTGGCTCCAGCGAACCACACGGTGATGGAGGAGGTGAGGATGGACTCGATGATGGCCGTGTAGAACTGCACCAACATCTGTGCAGGCAGCTTGGCTTTCCTGAGCTGCCGCAGGAAGTACATCCTCTGCTGGGCCTTCTTGATGAGGGAGCTGATGGTCGGCTCCCACTTGAGGTCCTGGGTGATGGTGGTGCCCAGGAAACGGAAGGACTCCACAGAGGTGATGGGGGAGTCCATCACGGAGGGTGGGGGCGGGGGGACAGTGCTCTTCCTGAAGTCCACAATCATCTCCACTGTCTTCTGGGCGTTCAGCTCCAGGTTGTTACCACTGCACCAGGACACCAGCCGGTCCACCTCCCTCCTGTAGGCGGACTCATCGTTGTTGGAGATGAGTCCAATGAGGGTGGTGTCGTCCGCGAACTTGATCAGCTTCACGGAGTCGTGGCTGGAGGTGCAGTGGTTGGTGTACAGGGAGAAGAGCAGGGGAGAAAGAACACAGCCCTGTGGGGCTCCTGTATTTATAATCCGAGAGTCCGAGACATTCTTCCCCAGACGCACTCGCTGCTTCCTGTCCGTCAGGAAGTCAGTGATCCACCTGCAGGTGGAATCGGGCACGTTGAGCTGGGAGAGCTTGTCCTGGAGCAGGGATGGCAGGATTGTGTTGAAGGCAGAGCTGAAGTCCACGAACAGGACCCTGGCGTAGGTCCCCGGGGAGTCCAGGTGCTGTAGGATGTGGTGGAGGGCCAGGTTAATGGCGTCGTCTACAGATCTGTTGGCTCTGTAGGCGAACTGCAGGGGGTCCAGGAGGGGGGAGGTGAGGGACTTGAGATGGGAGAGAACCAGGCGTTCAAATGACTTCATGACGACAGACGTAAGTGCTACAGGTCTGTAGTCATTGAGTCCTGTGATCCTGGGCTTCTTCGGGACGGGGACAATGATGGAGGATTTGAAGCAGGCCGGGACATGGCAGGACTGCAGAGAGGAGTTGAAAATGTCCGTGAACACAGGAGTAAGCTCACTGGCGCAGTGTCTCAGAGTGGCCGGAGACACGTGGTCCGGGCCAGGAGCTTTGCGGGGGTGCAGCCTCAGGAAGAGTTGTTTAATCTCTTTAGCGGCTATTGTTAGGCTGGGGGCAGGGCTGATGGGTGGGTCGTTAGAGTAGTGGGGGGTGGGGGAGGGAGAGGTGTCAGGGGCAGCATCAAAGCGACTGAAAAATAAGTTCAGATCGTCAGCTAGCTTGTGGTCATCAGCACAGGGGGGGGCTTTGGGTTTGTAGTTGGTGATCTCCCGTAGGCCCCTCCAGACAGAAGCAGTATCGTTGTTACCAAACTGCTCCTGTAGTCGTTCTCTGTGCCGGGACTTGGCTGCTTTCAGTTCTTTCCTGAACTGATATTTAGCTGCTTTGTAGCCGCTGCGGTCCCCCTCCCTGAAAGCAGACTCCTTTGCTTTCCTGAGCTGCCGGAGTTTAGCAGTGAACCAGGGTTTGTCGTTGTTATAGATGACCCTGGTCCTTGTTGGAATGATGCTATCCTCACAGAAGTGGATGTATGACGTCACAGTGTCCGTATATTCATCCAAGCTGTCTGTGGCAGCTCTGAAAAGGTCCCAGTCTGTAGATTCCATGCATGCGCGCAGCTCTTCCACAGCTTCATCAGACCACACTTTGGAGCTCCTCACTGCAGGTTTCG